ACCCAGTTGCCCTGAACCCTAAACTTCTGAAGCCCTAAACCCCAAACCCAGCACTTCAAAATCGTAAAGACCTGAGCCCTAACGCCATAAAGCCCCAAAATCCTAAAACCCAGCGTTTCTTCTTGCCTTCAGTGCCTCTTGCTAGGCCAAGCTCCGGCAAAGACCGACCGAGGACACGGTGCTTCCGGAGTCCATGCAACCCCGTTCATTAAAGGAATGTGCGTAAAATCAAAACAAGGCCCCCCCTTCGATAATTTGGAGTAGTGATCCCTAAACCCAAACTCTAAACCCTAAAACCCTACAGCCCTGAACCCTAAACCCCTAAAGCCCTAAACCCCTAAACCCTAAAACCAGTGATTTCAGGCTTTGTGGTTTTGGGATCTCGCCCTTTTTGGGGTCATGGTTTAGGGGTTTAGGGTTTAGAGTTTACTACAACAGGGCTCTCCATGATAGAAGGGCCTTCGTATTCAGAGTAGGGTTCCCTTAGGGGATGCAGCCTGGATTTTGCTGGGGTTTTGGGGCTAAGGCTTTCGGGCTTCATGTTCTCACGATTTATGGTTCAGGACTTACAAGCCTTGTGAAACCTTCTGGAGCCCGTCTTGCCTTACAACTCTTTTCAACTTGTCCGTCTTCATTCGCAGAGCCCTTAAGCCCTAAACCCTAAACCCTAATCCCTAAGCCCTTACACCCTAAACCCTAAAACCCTAAACCCTAAAACCCTAAGCCCTAAACCCTCAGTCTCAAAGCTCAAGCCCTGCAGGACCGCAAGCAGCGTGGGGTGTACGGCGATTCCCGAGCTACAGGTGATGAGGATCAGTGCTCCCTCTTAACAATACAAGTAATAATAATGAGACTGATCAGAATACTACCACTACCACTACCACTATCACTACTACTACTACTACTACTACTACTACTACTACTACTACTACTACTACTACTACTACTACTACTACTACTACTACAACTACTACTACAACAAATAAAAAAATAATAATGATGATATCAACAACAATATTACTACCAACAATAATCATATGAGGTCAAGGTTGGTTGGGCTTCGGGATGTGGGCGTAGGATACTTGAACTAATTGCTGCTGCTGCTACTGCTGCTGCTGCTGCTGCCGCTTCCTGTACCGCTACCACTACCGCTGCTACCGCTATTGCTACTGCTGCTGCCGCTGCTGCTACTACTCTCCTCCTGCTGCTGCCGCTGCTACGGTCGTACGGCTACTACAACTACACAACAGCAGCAACAGCAACAACTACTGCCGCGACAACTGCGACTACTGCAAAAGCACTACCGCCACTACCGCCACTACCGCCACTACCGCCACTACCACCACTACCACCACTACCACCACTACCACCACTACCACCACTACCACCACTACCACCACTACCACCACTACCACCACTACCACCACTACCACCACTACCACCACTACCACCACTACCACCACTACCACCACTACCTCCACTACCGCCACTACCGCCACTACCACCACCACCAACAAGACGAATACCACCACTGCCGCCACTACCATCACTACAACCACTACCGCCACTACCGCCACTACCACCACTACCACCACTACCACCACTACCACCACTGCCACCAGCGCCACCATCACCGCTTCTTTTGGGTTTAGAGCTGGGGTGGGCGTGTGGTTCAAGGTTTAAGAATTACCGGGCGCTGGTTAGATTTTAGCGTTCACAGCTTGGCCACCGCATCCTTTGCACCTTCTTTCCAGTCCTCCTTCACGCCCTCTCCCCTAAACCCTAAACCCGAAACCCTAAACCCTAAACCCGGGGATTTGTTCCAAACCGACGATTAGACCCCAAACCATGAACCAAAGCTTCAACCCTGAGCTTCAAACTCTTGACGTAGTGCCCAGTATAAGGGCCTTAGACTTAAATTATTACCAACACTATTCTGGGCGTTCCTTATTATAAGTGTAGTATTGTAATATTCTCGAAAACCCAGTTCTACTTATCTAGGTCCTTATGCTATAGTACCCTTACAAGTATCCCTTATAGACCCCTTTTAAAAGAACCCTTTATAGGAACCCCTATTCTAATTCTTTAGGCACTCCCCCCTTTTCTAGGCTTCAAGGCAGCAGAAAATCCCTCGAACCGCGCAGGCCCCCGAAAGCCCAAACTCTGAGCCCTTCAGGCCCTCGACTCTGAACCCAGGTTCCTTAAAGGGGCTCCTTAAACGGGATCGGGTTCCTGAAGGGGGATCTATAGGGTTCCTTATAATGGGATCTATAGGGGTTTAGGGTTTAGGGTCTGCTTAGAGGATCATGGGACTTAGTAAGTAGGGTTATACATAAGGTAACTATACTTATACTGGCTCATATCCCCACTTAGGGTACTTATGACCTTGGAGCCTAAGTCCCATGATCCTCCAAGTAAGGCCCTGAACCCCAAATTCGATGAAGCCATGGCAGACACTGGCCAGAGACCCCGACACCCCTCAACAAAGGAAACGACCTCAAATCCTAACAACGATCCCTCTACAACTCAAGGGATAATGGGTTTAGCCCCTTTACAATTCAAGGTACAAGAGGTTCAGGGTGTTGTGATGTTTTGGATCATGTAGGTATAACCCTAAATCATGCGTTTCGGAGCCTCTGGGTAGCCACAGGTACGATGAGCAGGATCCCTGAATCCAGATCCTGAGCCGCATCACGTCCTGCAAGGATCGCCTACTCCTTGATGTAGCGTGTAGGTCTGAGGACTTCAGGTTTCAGAGTTTAGGGTTTAGGGTTTAGGGTTTAGGGTTTAGGGTTTAGGGGTTTAGGGTTTAGGGTTTAGGGTTTAGGGTTTGGGGTTTAGGGTTTAGGGTTTAGGGTTTAGGGTTTAGGGATATAGGGTTTGGGGCTTGTAACTTTTAGGACTTAGGGTTCCATTCCCAATGCAGAGCCCTTTGCAAACTGTGTGGTTCTTTAGGCTTCCACTTGAAGACTCGGACTAGGCAGAGGATCCTTGTGGATCTGCGCCCACAGCCTTTGATCAGTGATGGTCTGACAGTTGCGGAGCTATTGCGAGCTCGGGCACGCCAGAAGGATGTAATGTTGCAGGCTCCGATACGGCGTCGTCTTAGTCTTGGGGTTTGAAGTGAGTTTGTCAGATGCGCAGCTCCACGGTTAGCGAATTCAGTGCACGGAAAGTATCTCGTGCCCGCGGTGCCGGAGTGCGGCTGAATCTGCCAAACCCGCCTCACTGCGTTGTCTCACGAATTCGAGCCTGAGCATGACCTAAGTCTTACAACAAGTATGTACCAGCCCCTAAACCCTAAACCCTAAACAGTAGGTGGCAGATCCCCAAGCTTCATTTCGGGGGACCCCCGGAAGTCCCCAACCCTAGATGCGCCACATCAGCACCCCTTTCTGCATTGTAGGCCTGACACCGACGTCGAGCTCGAAGCAAAAAGTCTGTGAGGGTTTGGGGTTTAGGGTAGGGTTTAGGGTTCAGGATTTAGGGTTTCGGGTTGGGCTTAGGGTTTAGGGTTTAGGATTCAGGGTAGGGTCTAGGGTTTAGGGTTCTGTGTTTTCCCTCGCAAGCCCCTCTAAGGCAAAACACGAGAAGAGCTCGGAAACCCCGTGCTGGAAGTTTGAAAACGTTCACTTATGGGGACACAGTAAAGGCCGTAAGTGCTAGACCCTAAGCCCTTAGCCTTGAATCTAATTTTACCAGGTTTCTATTTTATGCTCTAATAAAGTCTTGTATATGGCATCTGGACGGTATTCTGGCTGTCTCTGGTCTGTAGTGCCGTGGGGTCAGAGGTGGTTTAGAGTACGAGGGTTTCGTAGGAAATCATGTCACATGTACTGCAGTACTGCAGTGTAATGGCTTGCATAATTCGTAAAACTATCCACGTGTGGGCCCTGAATCTGCAATAATGTACCCCCCCCCCCAAGCCTGTTGAAATTGCCGGGGCTCCCGTATTAGCCTTTTAGATGTGGGGCTGCGGAAACTCCAACATCCCTCGCATAAAGAATGTGACTTGACTTGTAAGGGTATCTTGCCCGATTATGGTTTAGGGTACCTTCTTTGGGGTACCTTCGTCAAACAAAGCCTGAAGCCCTACACTCTCAACCCGACGCGAAAAAACCCTGAACCACTGAACCCTGGACCTGCAAAGCCCCAAAAACTCCAAACCCCAAGCCCTAAACCTTACATCCCAAATCGGCAACCCCGGAGCCCCGAACCATAAAATCCCCACACCCAAACAACTTACATCCCAAGCCGTGCAACCTTGAGCCCTAGACCGTTTAGAGTTTAGGGCTTGGGGTTTGTTGCAAAACCTTAAGCGCCTTAACTCACTAAACCATAAGCCCCTGAGCCCTAAACCACAAAAAGGGGTGGTGGAGCACCCTAAACCCTAAACCCTAAACCCGAAACCAGAAACCCGAAACCCTAAACCCTAAACCCTAAGCCGGGTTGCTGTTTGCGCCCGGCCGTTTCCAGGTGAAGGGGCGTGGTGCCATCCCCGGCTCCGCGAGGGAGAGTTTAGGGCTTACTCAAGGGCTCATGGGACTTAGTAAGTAAGGTTATAAGTAGGTTATAATTAGGATAGCCCCACTTAGGGGACTTATAACCCCAATTATAGCCGACTTACTAAGTCCCATGATCCTCTAAGTAGGGCTTAGGGTTTAGGTCTTAGGGTTTAGGGCTCGAATAGAGGTTTAGGGCAGTGGGTATGCTTTTGTAAGGGTTCCGAAGGGCTTCTGTAAGGGTTTTGTAGGTTGCAGAAGGGCTTGTATAAGAGTTTCGGGTTTAGGGTTGAAACTTTAAAAAGGTTTTTTAGGCCTCACAAGAGGGCTTTGGGACACTCACAAGAGGGCTTTGGGACAATATTCTCGACCCCTGCACATAGGTCCAGGGTTTGGGGGTTTAGGACCGAACGTTCAGGGTTTGGGCCTAGGGTCAGCGGTTTAGGGTTTCGGGTGGTGCAGACAGAATTCAGAATGTCTTTACGGCCGTGCCATGTGATGCATCTGTGCCTCTCGCAATGTATCTGTTCCTTGGCTTTCGATTGGTACAGCCCTTTATGTTGTAAGTTTCTGTTGTAACGTTCAGGCAAGAAGCGTTGTACATACACCATGTTGCAGCGAGAAGTCGTGATGTGCATCCAAGGCACAGTCGCGATTGGCATGGAGGTTCGAGGTTGCGCCAAAGTGGGACCCCAATATAGCCTAACCCTACGAAGCCAAAGCCTAAAGCCCGAACACCCTAAAGCCGAAAACCCTCAAAACCCCTACTCAAGGGCTCATGGGACTGAGAAGGTAAGGTTATAAGTCGGTTATACTTAGGATAACCCCACTCAGGGGACTTATAACCCCAATTATAACCTACTTACTAAGCCCCATGATCCTCTAAGAAATCCCGAAACCCGAAACCCTAAACCGTATATCCTAAAACCCTAAACCCTAAAACCATCAAAACCCTAGTTTTGAAGCCTTAACTTGAAAAGCGTACCAGGTTGCTTCTTGGGATGCACTGCTGCGCATCATTCAGTTTGCTGAAGACGGGACGTGGCGACCTTTTCCACATGTCTTCCCCAAGGCACCGGATCATGGGCCTTTCTGGTTTCATGTTGCGGGTCTCAGGGTTTAGGGCTTAGGGTTTAGGGTTTAGGGTTTAGGGTTTAAGGTTTAGGGTTTAGGGTTTAGGGTTCAGCAGCTCTGACTTTGAACATTTCATGTCAAGCTATTTCTAGTCAGGCTATCTTCTAGAAGAATCCCCACCCGCCCAGAGAATCCCATCACATTAGATTCAGGAGTTTTATTTCTTTTGGCTTGAATCTTAAAAAAAATTACTTACATACAACTATTACAGATCGTAAACTTGCACACTTTCGATCAAGCAGGTGCTGTTTCTTTACAGTCGTTTTCTCACAACACGCTTCACTTTAAGAAATTATTTCTGCCGACCAGCTTTCTAAGAGAGCTAGTTAAGAAACACAACATCGCCCTAACCCGCCGAAGCTGCGGTCACGCCATCGCTTTACGATAGCAACCATAGCTGTCAAATGTCATGACTTGAATCTCCTCAACTATCGATCCACAACAAAGAGCTTCGACGAGGCTAGCCGTACAAGCTACATGTTTTGACCCCTGGAGGGGCCCAGCTCTAGAAGACAGATGTTCTGAGAGTCGACGAAGCTAGCCGTACAAGCTAGATGTTTTGACCCCTTCAGGGGCCCAGCTCTGGAAGATGCTCTGAGAGTTGACGAAGCTAGCCGTGCAAGCTAGATGTTTTGACCCCTGGAGGGGCCCAGCTTTAGAAGACAGATGTTATAAGCTTTGAAGACGCTAGCCGTGCAAGCTAGATGTTTTGACCCCTGGAGGGGCCCAGCAGTGCAAGACAGATGTTTTGAGCTTTGAAGAAGCTAGCCCTACAAGCTAGATGCTTTGGCCCCTGGAGAGCGAAGACAGATGGATTGAGAATGTTTTGATCCCTGGAGGGGCTTAGCTCTAGAAGACAGATGTTCTGGGAGTCGACGAAGCTAGCCGTACAAGCTAGATGTTTTGACCCCTTCAGGGGCCCAGCTCTGGAAGATGCTCTGAGAGTTGGCGAAGCTAGCCGTGCAAGCTAGATGTTTTGACCCCTGGAGGGGCCCAGCTTTAGAGGACAGATGTTATAAGCTTTGAAGAAGCTAGCCGTGCAAGCTAAATGTTTTGACCCCTGGAGGGGCCCAGCAGTGCAAGACAGATGTTTTGAGTTTTGAAGAAGCTAGCCCTACAAGGGGCCCAGCTGTACAAGACAGATGTTTTGAGCTTTAAGGCTAGCCCTACAAGCTAGATGTTTTGGCCCCTGGAGAGCGGAGACAGATGGTTTGAGCTTCGGAGAGGCTAGCCACACAAGCTTGATGTTTTGACCCCTGGAGGGGCCCAACTGTAGAAGACAGATGTTTTGAGCTTAGAAGAAGCTAGCCGTGCAAGCTAGATGTTTTGACCCCTTCAGGGGCCCAGCTTTAGAAGACAGATGTTCTGAGCGTTGAAGAAGCTAGCCCTACAAGCTAGATGCTTTGACCCCTGGAGGGGCCCAGCTTTAGAAGACAGATGTTATAAGCTTTGAAGAAGCTAGCCGTGCAAGCTAGATGTTTTCACCCCGGGAGGGGCCCAGCAGTGCAAGACAGATGTTTTGAGCTTTGAAGAAGCTAGCCCTACAAGCTAGATGCTTTGGCCCCTGGAGAGCGAAGACAGATGGTTTGAGAATGTTTTGAACCCTGGAGGGGCCCAGCTCTAGAAGACAGATGTTCTGAGAGTCGACGAAGCTAGCCGTACAAGCTAGATGTTTTGACCCCTGGAGGGGCCCAGCTCTAGAAGACAGATGCTCTGAGAGTTGACGAAGCTCGCCGTGCAAGCTAGATGTTTTGACCCCTGAAAGGGCCCAGCTTTAGAAGACAGATGTTATAAGCTTTGAAGAAGCTAGCCGTGCAAGCTAGATGTTTTGACCCCTGGAGGGGCCCAGCAGTGCAAGACAGATGTTTTGAGCTTTGAAGAAGCTAGCCCTACAAGCTAGATGCTTTGGCCCCTGGAGAGCGAAGACAGATGGTTTGAGAATGTTTTGAACCCTGGAGGGGCCCAGCTCTAGAAGACAGATGTTCTGAGAGTCGACGAAGCTAGCCGTACAAGCTAGATGTTTTGACCCCTGGAGGGGCCCAGCTCTAGAAGACAGATGCTCTGAGAGTTGACGAAGCTCGCCGTGCAAGCTAGATGTTTTGACCCCTGGAGGGGCCCAGCTTTAGAAGACAGATGTTATAAGCTTCGAAGAAGCTAGCCGTGCAAGCTAGATGTTTTGACCCCTGGAGGGGCCCAGCTTTAGAAGACAGATGTTATAAGCATTGAAGAAGCTAGCCGTGCAAGCTAGATGTTTTGACCCCTGGAGGGGCCCAGCAGTGCGAGACAGATGTTTTGAGCTTTGAAGAAGCTAGCCCTACAAGCTAGATGCTTTGGCCCCTGGAGAGCGAAGACAGATGGTTTGAGCTTCGGAGAGGCTAGCCGTACAAGCTGGATGTTTTGACCCCTGGAGGGGCCCAACTGTAGAAGACAGATGTTTCGAGCTTCGCAAAGTCTAGCGGTACAACCCCTCCTTTAGAAGACAGATGTTTTGAGCTCTGAACAGGCTACCCTAGACCCTAAACCCTAGGGCCCAAACCTTAGGCCCTAAACCCAGTGCCCAAACCCTAGGCCCTAAACCCTAGTGCCCAAACCCTAGGCCCTAAACCATAGTGCCCAAACCCTAGCCCTAAACCCTAGGGCCCAAACCCTAGGCCCTAAACCCTAGTGCCAAGCCCTAGGCCCTAAACCCTAGTGCCCAAACCCCAGGCCTTCACCCTGGTGCCCAAACCCTAGCCCTAAACCCTGGGCCCAAACCCTAGGCCCTAAACCCTAGTGCCCAAACCCTAGGCCCCAAACCCCAGTGCCCAAAACTGAAGCTCTAAACCCTAGTGCCCAAACCCTAGGCCCTAAACCCTAGGGCCCAAACCCCAGCCCAAAACCCAGAGCCCAAACCCGAGGCCCTAAACCCTAGTGCCCAAGCCCTAAACCCTAGGGCCCAAACCCTAGGCCCTAAACCCTAGTGCCCAAACCCTAGGCCCTAAACCCTAGGGCCCAAACCCTAGGCCCTGAACCCTAGGGGGATGACCAAGAGCCACGAGTTATGACCAAGAGCCACGAGTTATGACCAAGAGCCACGAGTTATGACCAAGAGCCACGAGTTATGACCAAGAGCCACGAGTTATGACCAAGAGCCACGAGTTATGACCAAGAGCCACGAGTTATGACCAAGAGCCACGAGTTATGACCAAGAGCCACGAGTTATGACCAAGAGCCACGAGTTATGACCAAGAGCCACGAGTTATGACCAAGAGCCACGAGTTATGACCAAGAGCCACGAAGACTATAAGGTTTAAATTACTATAGGTAGAGGGGTTTAGGGTGTCAGGTCTCAAAGGGGGAAAAGGAGGGACCCTTGATGGGGACCCCTACCCTATAATGGGCTATATAATGGGTATATAATAGATATATTAAGGGTATATACCTAGGGGTCCTTATTAAATGTCCCTCCTTTTACCCTTGGACCCTTGGAAGGTCTTTAGGGTTCAGGATTTGGGGCTTTATGGTTCCGTTGAAGTGTTCCGCTAAGGGATCTACTCGGCTTCTATAAGGGTTCTATGTGGCGGAGTTTTAGGGTTCTACGGCTTTAGGGCTTTTGGGTAAAAGGGTTTAGGGTTGAGGGTGGCGAGAACTGTATCTCAGAAGGTCAAAACATCTAGTGGTACATGCATGCAGCCATCTATACATGGGTGGTTGTCAAAATTATGGCCCTTGTTTTGGGTCCCTAATATAGCACGCCACCTAGTATTTAGGGTTCCCAAAAAGGGACCATTATTTTGACAACTACCCACATGTGCATCCGATAATGTTTGTACCGCTGAGGAGATGCTACACCCGCAACTCGCTCTTAAGGGCTGGATCCGGAACCCCTCGACCCCAAGACCGTTACTACGGTCGATGATGTAAATCCTGCATTACCTTAAGGACCTCAAACTATGGGAATTATGGTAGATTCCTTATTACGGGTTACTGCAGGATTTGTATCATCAACCGTAGAACCAAACCAGTAGTAGAACCCATATAACATGGTCCCTGATAGCACCCTCCCCAGTCAGCCCACGAGCAGGTGGAACCGCAGGTGTATGTAGGGTTGTTTAGGGTTTTTTGTATTGCAGGGGGTGGGCCCTACACCCAAAACCCTTTAAGGAACCCAAAACGGAACTCCCTACAGGAATCCCAGCATCAGGTGGATCCTCTTGTACTACTTCACGCCTTGGTTCCTGAATCTGACCCTAGGTTTCGATCCGGGGCAGTTTTTAGTTTCCCTTATATTCTTTCATATAGAACCCTAAATCTATATGGGTGGTTGTCAAAATTACGGTCCCTTGTTGGGTCCCTGATATAGTACGGCACCTAATATTTAGGGTACCCAAAAAGGGGCCCTAATTTTGACAGGCACCCACATAATTTCGGAACCTGTTGAAATCGACACCTAGGAACGGAAGAAGTTCGCAGTTCGAGTCACAGCTGGGAGGGCCGCCGACGATGAGCCCTGGCTCTGTTAGGGTTTAGGGCTTAGTGGGTTTAGGTTGGGTACGGCCCACACTCAGTAATAGTTGAATAATATTCGTAATATTGTTATAGTAGGACCTTAATAGTAGCCCTATTAGAGACTCTTACTGTATGGGGGCCGTACCTAAGGTTTAGGGTTTAGGGGTTTACGGTTTGTTGCTCTCTGTTTGGTTCTAGCTAAACCCTAAACCCTACATCTTCCGATTTGGTTTTGCAAGGTTTGCAGAAGGTTTTGAAGGGAGCAACTTTTTTTCGGTTGGTTTCTGCAGTGTCTTTAGGTTCGGATTTGAGGCGGTTCGTATGTCGGTTTACGTAGGGTTTCGGGCTTGGGGGGCTGCAGTTGTTTGTGCGTTAGGGTTTTAGGTTTCAGACCTTTTGATCTTGGCCTTTTCCGCTCGTTCTCACAGAACCCCATGATCACCGCATGCTGTACCATGGTTTGCGGTTTGGTGCTTTAGTGTTTAGGTTCTAGGAGTGCAGGGTCTAGGATTTTAAGGATTCGAGGGGTTTAGGGCATAGGTTTTCTGCCATGCGCCCAACACCCCAGACGGTCATCTCCAAACCCGAAACTCCCAAGCCCTGAACCTTAAACCCTAAACCCTAAACTCTGAAGACCTGAACCCTAAACCCTAATCCCTAAGCCCTGAACCCGAGTGTCCACCCGGTGACCCTCTGGCACCGGGGTTGGTTTGAGTTCTTATCCTATTGTATAAGGCTCGGAACACTTATTCATACTTTCCCTTCATGGTCCCTGTGTCGGCCTATGCAATTGTATCATAACGGACTCCAAGATCATCTTCTAACTGTTGAGGTTCCTGTATCGGGTAGGCGTAGAATCGAGACGTTGCAGCGTCGGCCCTAGTCCCAAGGCCAGTGCAGTAAGGGGGTAGGTTTAGGGTTTCCTTTGTCATAGTCCGATAAGGTATTACATGTTTATGAGCACTTAAGCTCAATAAGAACTGAATAGCAATTTAAAGTTTTAATGTAACCATGTTGCTCCGTGTATACATACGCATACATACAGGCACAGATGAACACAGACGGAGCGTCTTGCATACACAGACCGGCAGACATGCGTATTTACGTACATACTTACCTGCATACATACACACATGCATACCTACGAAGATACATGACATACTAAGCTGCAAGCATACATGATTATCCCTCTATTTTGTTCGTTAGATCGATAGATCGGTAGACAGATCGATAGCACGATAGTTCGATCCATATAACGATATGTACTTAGATAGATAGATAGAGAGACAGATCGATAGATAGATAGATAGATAGAGAGACACAGAGAGAGTTAGACAGATAAACGACAAATAGAAAATGGGCAGATAGCGGATAGGTAAATGGATAGATAGATGCGAGCAGGCAAACAAGTAAGCTATGTAGGTAAGCAAACGCATAAGCTCGTAAGTTCATACAACGTTACGCACATAAACAGATACATAGAAAGATCACCCAGGAAAGACCGCTGATATACGTAGTTACTGTGCCTGTATGTTTATGTGAATATGTACGCCTAGATACAGATGTACATACATATACATAGACGCACATGCATACAGACACATGTATATGTATGTATATATATACATATGGATATTTATGTGTATGTATATGTGTATGCATACATGTTTGTATCTGTGTCTGTATCTATATATTCATATGTTCATGTTTATGTTTATGTATATGCATGAGTATATGTACATGTGCATGCGTATGTATATGTATACAGTATATAGTATATGTGTATGTATGTAAGTATGTATGTATACACGTATTGATATATGCTGATTGCATAAGCTATATACAGTTTCAGTGTGGCTGGCAGACATGTGCCTCCGACTCTTCCGCGTGTGATGTTTCATGTATCTAAACCTGTCTGGGCTCAGGGTCCAGTAGCACTTTGGGGTTTAATTAGGGTTTAGGCTTAGGGTTTAAACATTATGAACAATGCTAACAACTGAACCCTAAGCCCTAAACCCTGAACCGAGGACCACGATCAGGTCTACCCTCTCTTCAAGCTTCCAGGCTATGCGGGCCACAGCCCCAGCTTAGGGTTCAGGGTTTAGGGTTTAGGGGGGGTACCCAGACCTTCCAAAATCCCTTAGTTAAGGAATATCCCTTAAACTATAGTAGGATCCTTAATATGATGTAATTTAAGGCAAATTCCTTAATTAAGGGATTTTGGAAGGTCTGGGTAGAACGGGCCTGAATCATCAGACGCATTATTCCTTGGGGTTCCTTATCGTAGTTGTAGGATAACCCATATTGTAGTTGTAGGATAATGCACCCCCGAAACCTTGTTCCAAGTGTTAAGACCCCAGATATTATGGGCTTCGTGCCCCAACCAAGACCCGACATACTATACAAGCCTGTATACCAATTACCAGCAATATTCCTGGAGGTTCCTCATGATTTTTTTCCTTAACCCAAAACCTTACTCTAACGATCAAGGCCCCTAGTACAAACTCTCTTCGTTAAAAGACCCCTTTAAAGGAACCTTATAGATCCCTCAAAGGGCCCCTTAAAGGAGACCCTAAAGATCCCTTAAAGGACCCCTTAAAGTAGCCCTTCAAGGACCCCTTCTAGATCCCTTAACCCTAAACCCTAAACGCTTCTAAACCTTAAACCCAAAACCCTAGCCCTAAACCTTATAGATCCCTTAAAGGAGCCCTTAAAGGACCCCCTACCGTAAATCTTATGGATCCCCTTCGGCCACGGGGTTTGAAAGCCGCGGACTTCGTCCGAGGCGTGGCCTTCGAGTCGAACCCTCGAGCGCTTCAGGAGTTTCGGGTTCCTTAAAGGGTTCTTTTTTGGGGTTCCTTGAGGGTTCCTTTAAAGGATTCTTTTAAGGGTTCCTTTTTAGGGTTCCTTGAGGGTTCCTTTTAAGGGTTTCTTTTAAGGGTTTCTTTTAAGGGTTCCTTTTTAGGGTTCCTTTTAAGGATTCCTTAAGGGTTTCTTTTAAGGGTTCCTTAAAGGGTTCCTTTTAAGGGTTCCTTGAGGGTGCCTTTTAAAGGGTTCCTTGAGGGTTCCTTTTCAGGATTGCTTTCAGGGTTTCTTTTAAAGGTTCCTTGAGGGTTCCTTTTAAGGATTCCTTTAAGGGATTTATAAGGGTTCCTTCTAAGGGTTCCTGAAAGGGTTTAGGGTTTAGATCTTAACAGGTACCGGGTGGTGTTAGGGGTTCCTTAAAGGGTTCAGGGTTTAGGTGTTAAGGGGTTCCTTAAAAGGTCTAGGGTTTAAAGTTTGCAGGGATTTATTGAAGGATTCCTTGCGGGTTCCTTACGTCACGCTTTAAAGGGTTTTTCCAAGGGGCTAGGGTTGCTTGAGGGTGATTTCAGAGTTGGGGTTGCAGGTTCGGGGTTTAGGGTTTAGGGACGGTTTGTAGGTGTAAAGTCTGACTGCGGAGGTTTGTGGGTCATGAAAGGCTTCCTTTCAAGATTCCTTCAAGGGCTCTCTATGGTTCTAGAAGGGTTTAGTCTGTGGTCTTTCAGCATTGGGGGGTTTAAGGTTTCGGTTTGGGGTTTATTCGTTGGCATCTGCTTGCATGATCAGGAGGCTTTGTAGGTGAGGTCATTAATTAGTAGGACAACTATACAGTTGTACCTACTTATACTTCCTAGTATGCGACCTATCTTCCCTTTGACTGAAGCTTACATTTGGTTAGTAGGGAATGGCAGAATGGTAGTAATAGTAGTTATAATTATACCCCACTCCTCCATTCCCTACTAACCAAAGGTAAGAGCAGGGTCCTTCAAGGCTCCCTGTAAGGTTCCTGCTCTTTGAAGGGTTCTGCAAAGAAAGGTTTAGATGCTCGGGTTGAGGGTTTAGGGGCTTAGGGTTTAGGTTTAGTTTAGATGTTCGGGTTGAGGGTTTAGGGGCTTAGGGTTTAGGTTTAGTTTAGATGTTCGGGTTGAGGGTTTGGAGAAAAGAGTTCCGGCTTCACGACTCAATGGTCGGGTGAACTAGAGCATTCAACTTGCCGCGTCCTTGTTGAAGATTCTCAATCTTGTTGCTCCACCGCCAGCCACCTCCAGTCACTGCCACTGCCAAACAAAAACGTGGAAAAGGAGCGGTAGAGTCTGGTAGAGTCCGGTAGAACAGCTAATGTTGGGTCCGGATTAACAAACCCCCCCCTCCCCCCCCCCCCGCTGTCAAGGTTAGCCCGCTTGAACTTGTTCATGGGTTCAAGTTTTTCCCGGCCCCCCCCCGATTATGTGGGGATGGGGTTGATTATTAAGTATAGTAGTAAGTAGATAGAGAGTACTTAGTAAAGTATTGCAGTCGTACAATAGGAGTACAGTAGTATAGTAGTAGTACAGTAGTATAGTAGTAGTACAGTAGTATAGTAGTATTACAGTAGTATAGTAGTAGTACAGTAGTACAGTAGTACAGTAGTACAGTAGTAGTACAGTAGTATAGTAGTATTACAGTAGTATTAAAGTAGTTTAGTAGTAGTATTGAAGTCTAGTAATAGAAGCAGTATATTATTACAATAGGGTTTAATTAGGGAACCACCTGTTTCTGCCAGCAGAAGATATCACCGAAATCCCAGGGATCCCAAGGCCAGGGATCTCTGACCCTTCCATCTCAAAGCTTCGGGCTTTCTAGGTCAAAGCCAAGGGCCTGCAAATCCCTGGTCCCGGGCCGGACCCTGTTAATCGGGGGGGTTTCCTGCTATTCGGGGGGGGTCGGGGCCTGCAAAGGGGTAGCCTTGGAAAACTTGACAAACCTACTCTTTTTATATACGGTTTAATTAGGGAACCACCTGTTTCTGGCAGCAGAAGATATCACCGAAATCCCAGGGATCCCAAGGCCAGGGATCTCTGACCCTTCCATCTCAAAGCTTCGGGCTTTCTAGGTCAAAGCAAGGGCCTGCAAATCCCTGGTCCCGGGCCGGACCCTGTTAATCGGGGGGGGTTTCCTGCTATTCGGGGGGGGTCGGGGCCTGCAAAGGGGTAGCCTTGGAAAACTTGACAAACCTACTCTTTTTATATACGGTTTAATTAGGGAACCACCTGTTTCTGGCAGCAGAAGATATCACCGAAATCCCAGGGATCCCAAGGCCACGGATCTCTGACCCTTCCATCTCAAAGCTTCGGGCTTTCTAGGTCAAAGCAAAGGGCCTGCAAATCCCTGGTCCCGGGCTTGGGGTTTAGGGTTAAGTCATAAGCCTCTAAATCCCCTAAATCCTTACTTCGGGGATTTTCGGGGATGGCCCCGTCTAATCGGGGGGGGTTTAAATGAGCTCCGGTACTATTAGGGTGGGGTCTAATGGACTTCTTCATTAAGCCCATGACATGCCCGGGACGGCCCCGTCTAATCTGGGGGGGTATCTTAATCCGTAAACAACATTAACCAGTATCCAGTACCCGTGAGCAAGTTTCTGCACCGCAGGACCTAAGCACAAGTCTGGCGGCTGCGAACGAAAGATTCAAGGCTGCAGCAAGGTGGGAGCATGACGGACTTGCCTAGGCCATTGTTTCTGCTGGTGGTTCAGGTTTGTATGATGCAAAATGAAAACACTAAACAGCCCTAAACCCGAACCGTGATTACTCTTATCCGAGGCGGGCGCATGTTTGCAGAACCGTGGACGCCGCAGAACGACAGTGCTGGCCCGCCGCTGCACCTGTACAGCGTGCCTCAGGACCTGGGAAGTTCTCTAAACTAGGATCCTTCTTTTCGGCGCGCAAAATGGTAAACCTGAACCCCACACCCTAAACCTCTAAAACCCTAAACCTCTAAAACCCTAAACCTCTAAAACCCTAAACCTCTAAAGCCCTAAACCCCTAAAGCCCTAAACCTTTAATTATGAAAGAGAGCCTAAGAGCCACCCCAATTCAGAGACCTACCCATCCGTCTCGCTTAAAGGCTCATGGGACTTAGAAAGTAAGGTTATAAGTAGGCTATAATTAGGATAACCCCACTTAGGGGACTTATAACCCCAATTTTAACCTACTTAGTAAGTCCCATGATCCTCTAAGTAAACCCTAAACCCTAAACCCTAGAGATCCCTGAAAGGAACCTTCTAGATCCCTTTAAGGAGCCCTTTAAGGAACCATACTTACTAAGTCTCCTGATCCTCTAAGTACATCCGGAGCCTTGGCCTTGACCCGGAGGCCAAAAAGGACCCTCAACCCGAAGGTTTAGGGTTTAGTGGTTTAGGGTTTAGGGTTTAGCGGTTTAGGGGCTTAGGGTTTAGGGTTTGGGGTTTAGGGTTTATGTTTTGGGGTTTAGGGGTTTAGGGTTTAGGGAGCCAGTTCGGGTTCGAATGAATAGACAGTATTTGCCTCCAGGATGCCGTGACAAAAACTTGCTACGACGTACGTACCGCAGAACCCTATTGCTTTGATTAAGGCCACCACAATGAGTCTTAAACTAAACCCCTCAACCCTAAAGCCTAAACCCTAAACCCTAAACCGCAGTGGATTGTAATATCGGTTGGTTTGTATACAAGGTCCAGCCCCTCAGCCTGCAAGGCATTCCAACTAACCGATAGGGCGGAAGGAAAAGAGGGTTCCAACAACAATAAACGTCCTAAACCCCTCAACCCTAAACCCTAAACCCCTAAACCCTTAAACCCCTAAACCCTTAAACCCCTAAACCCTAAAACATAACCCTAAACCCTAAACCCCTCAACCCAAAGCCTGAACCCTACACCCTTAACCGCATTTCAATCTCCCAGGACTTCGATATCTTGCAGCTTCGCACCCGATCTCTTGATTTGGAAGTCCTGCGCGGCATGCTGGATGCTGGGTTCTTGTTAAATAATTTAATTTAAGTTTTTATAATGAGGAAACCATATGATTTACGACACATCCCGATTATATTGCTGATGGACAAAATCCTGCATGACCCTAAGGACTTTAAACAACTATGGGAACTATGGTATATTCCTTATAACTTATAATGGGTAATGCAGGATTTTTGTCCATCAGCAGTAGTGATTTAAATTGCATCCCTTAACAAGAACCCAGGATGCGGCTTACAGGCCCAAAGTGCTGGTGATGGGCGCGCCGGCCTGAGTGGCTACGACTAGGGTTTAGGGTTTAGGGTTTACAGTCTAGGGTTTAGGGTCTAGAGTTTAAGGTTGAGGGTTTAGGGTCTAGGGTCTAGGGTTTAGGGTTTAGGGTTTAGGGTCTAGGGTTTAGGGTTTCGGGTTTCGGGGCTCCTTTAAAGGAGATAACAAGGTTCCCATAAGGGATCTCCAAAGGCACTATGGACTTTAGGGTGTGGGGTTTAGGGTTTAGGGTTTAGGCCCCGTTTGAAATCTACTGAGAGGATCGTGGGACTTAGTAACTCGGGTTATAATTAAGGTAACTACACTTACAATCACTTATATCCCCACTTGAGGTACTTGTAACCATTCTTTCTACGTCCCATGATCCTCCAAGTAAAGCTCTAAAGTTGAGTGAGGGACGAACTGGAAGTTGTGGATTGCAAACACAGCTGCCGGTCACTTACCTTTGGTTAGTAGGGAATGGAGGAATGGGTACAATACTAACTACTATCACTACCATTCTTCCATTCCCTAACCGAAGGTAAGACGTAAGACTACCCCTATAGATCCCATTACATTACACATCCCATTATCAGGAACCCCTGTAGATCCCTTCAAGGAGCCCTATAGATCCCTTTAAGGCCCAAGGATCCGCTAACTTCAAGAAATCGGCCCAAGAGGGATCTATAGGGGGTCCTTAAAGGGATCTATAGGGTTCCTTAGAGGGATCTACTATAAGGTTCCTAAAAAATGGGATCTATAGGGGTTTAGGGTTTGGGGTCTACTGAGAGAATCATGGGACTTAGTAACTAGGGTTATAATTAAGGTAACTGTACTTACTACTACTTGTAACCCCACTTAGGGTGCTTATAACCATACTTACTAAATCCCATGATCCTCCAAGTAGCCCCAGACAAAGCCCTAAACCTAAATCAAAAGCCGTAAACCACTGGGCTTTACCACAGAGCCATAAACCCTAAGCCACAAGCGCAAACCCTACACCATGAGCCCCTAAACCCTAAACCCTAAACACTACACCAGAAGCCCCTAAAGCCACAAATCCTACCCCCTAAACCCCAAACCTCACTTCCACTTCACGAGGTGAGGCTGGACATGCCCCCGCCCTTCGAGTACGAAGCGGTTCCTGCTGCCGATGCGGAGCAAGAGTGCATGCAAGCAGAAGGACGGGGGGTCTTAGAGAGTAGGCTGGGCTTTTGGGCTTAGGGGTTACGGGGCTTCCCAGAGACTCCAATACCCCTTAATTAAGGAATAGACCTTAAATCATATTAGGGACCCTACTATGATTTAAGGTATATTCCTTAATTAAGGGGTATTGGAGTCTCTGGGTTGGGTTTTCGGGTCAGGGCTTGGGGCTTAGGGGTTTAGGTTTAGGATTTAGAGTTTAGGGTTTAGAGTTTAGGGTTTAGAGTTGAGGGTTTAGGGGTTTGGGGTTAGGGGTTTAGGGGTTTAGGTTTAGGGTTTAGGGTTTGGGGGTTTCGGGGTTTGGGGGTGTAGCGTTGAGGAGTTTAGGGTTTAGGGGAGCACAGCTTAAGCTACAGGCAACGATAAACCTAACAGTCTTGCGATTCAAACTCCTTTGGTTCTGTAGACACCTTTCTGTTCAGGGCCTTGTAGGGTTTTGTTGTTCTTGGCAGGCTTTGATGGCATAGGACGTTCAGTGTTGGGGTTGGGGTTTAGGGCTCAGGGCTAAGGGTTTAGGAGTTAGGGCTTTGAGTTTAGGGCTCGGGATTTAGGTATGGGAGTTCGCGGAAAGCTGCAGCTCAAGGAGCGTTCGGTGCTTCTCTCGCAAGAGCCTGGGCAGAGTTATCTCGGCGCAGATACTCCTTGGTGGCACTGGAATCTGAGCGAAATTTGGGAAGAAACCCGAAGCCCAACACCCAACAGCCGTTAAGGGTTTAGGGTTGAGGGTTGACGGTTTAGGGGCCAGTGGTTCAGGGCCCGAAACCTCAGGGTTTAGGGTTTGGGGTTAGGGTTTAGGGTTTAGGCTTCAGGCTTTAGGGTTTAGGGTTTGGGGTTTGGGATTCAGAGCCCTTTATAAGCCCCCCTCTAGCCAACAAGGGGAGTCAAGACCCAGGAGGGCTCCTCAGCTGCATCGTGCGAGGGTCGAAATGAAGGCCAGGCGTGGTTCGTGCACAACGAGGCTGGGGGCCGGTGGGGGGGGGGGGGGGGGGGGGGGGGGGGGGGGGGGGTTTGGCTTTGTGGTGTTTTGGCTTTGGGGCTTTGGATTTAGAGTTTGGGGTTTGTTGTCTTGGCTTGAGTTTTGGTTTTAGAGTGAGGCATGTTAAATGTTATGTCGTTTGGAGGGTCTGAATCGGAAACTTGTAAGGGATTCATGTTTCGAGGTTAAGGGCCTTCAGTATGTACTGAATTCAGAGTAGTTTAGGGTTTCGGGGTTGCAAGTTCAGGGTTTGGAGTTGTACGGTACCTTCTTTGCAAGGAAGCCTGAAGAAGAACGACTAAGGTAATATAGGGGCCTCAAGACAGAATTACCTACACTATTTTGGGGGTTCCTCATTATGATTCTATTGCATAATGGATGCCAATACCCTCTAATGAGTAAGGTCCCTGTATTTATGGGTACTCGTCAGTTTTGGTTCACACTGATGGCCCTGCAGCGAGGCCCTACGTGTGGTGGGACCGCTGGTCTCATGGCATGGCATGGTCCGAATGTTCTGGGCGCAGGTGGACATGAAGTGTGCGCCAACCCAGCAGCTTTTGGCGGATATTCTTCGGCTGTCGGGCATGTTGGATGGGTTGGCAGGATGGACCGGTGCGGAGATGTCCTCGCACATTGCGAACTTGGCATCGCAGCCTCCGGTGCGCACGTACATCGAAGAGCACCAGGCACTGCTTGCCTTAAATACCTACACCCCCGAAGCCTTGAAAGTTGAAACCCTAGACCATAACCCTTAACAGCAACCCAAACCCTAAGACAACGTCATGGCGTGCCGCACGGCGCCAGCAGCAGAGAAAGAGGCACTTGAACAAAAGTGCCCTGAACCCCCGAGCCCCAAATCCCTGAACGCTCGACCTTAGACCCTAATCGCTTGAGAAGTTTCGGCTGAAGACCCCTTTGATCCTGCATGCCGTGGGGACGAGTGGAGGGTTGCATCCGAAGACATCAGGCCGGTCTGATCCACCGGTGTCCATGGCAAAAGCTTGTCATGCAAGTGGGCCCTCCGGGCTATGCGTCAAGCCTTCAAACGCTCTTGGCCAGAGTGCGACGTGAAGGCCGGGCTAACTGCTGAAGGATTAGGGTTGGAGTTGAAGGTTCAAGGTGCATGGTTTGGGGCTTAGAGGCTTGACGTTCAGTTTTACTATCATGGCAGTCTGCTGCTATGTGGAACAAAGGATCGCGCTGATTTAACCCTGACAACAAATGCTGCTGCCATCGAAGCTTTGAAACAGAATGCAACTTACCGTGTATGCTATTCCCGATGTACGTACTCGTGGAGGAATGCCACACTGATAAAGCCCCGGGTCATGGAAGAAAGGCTTGTCCAACCCGTTCAGCGCAGCAGCTGGAACTGGATGTCCGTCCCGGTGTGTTACTGGGTTCCACTTCAGGAACTTAGGATTCTGCAGGATTCTCGACATATGTATATATATATATATATGTATATATATATATATATATATGTATATGTATATGTATATGTATATGTATTTGTATATGTATATGTATTTGTATATGTATATGTATATGTATATGTATATGTATATGTATATGTATATGTATATGTATATGTATATGTATATGTATATGTACATGTATATGTACATGTATATGTACATGTATATGTATATGTACATGTATATGTATATGTACATGTATATGTATATGTATATGTATATGTGTGTATATATATGTATATATATATATATATATATATGGTTAACCGCATATATGGTACCCTCCCCATGGACCTACCATTCTTTTCCCTCTCAGGTCCGGACAGAAACGACATGCTGTTGTATTGTTTTCATGCAATGCTTACGCGATGCCCACACGAGCACAACTCGAAACAAGTCTGACAGTCTTTATGTCTGCGGCATCTACATCTCAAACGCACACGAAAACAGTAGATCCTTGAGGGGGGGGTAGCATTTTTTGGTATATTCATATGTATTTATGTATTTTATACATGTTTTCTTGTCGGTTTAGGGTTTTACAGAGTCTCATGTAGATTTTCAAAGTTTTGTAAGGGGGTTCGATTTTTGCATTCAGGGTTTGGGGTTTCGGTTCAGGGATGTGGGCTTGGGGTCTAGGGTGCGGGCTTTAGGGGTTGAGGGGTTTGAGGTATCCACGCCTAGGTTTTTTTTACATACTATTTTTGAGAAGGCTTTTCTTTGCATCAGAGCCCAGGCTACAGTGTCTGATGCCCTTTGGAATGACACCGCGCCTTGGGCAGACTCGGAGTTTCGAATTAGTTTTAGGATTTGGATGCAAGGGACCCACAAGCCCCAAAGAAAAACAGAACACGTCACATCCTAAACCCTAAACCCCAACAGAGGCCCATAGAAATCACTCTACACCCCTGATCCCTAAACTTTAGCCCTAAACCTTTTTTTTTTGTGCGGAACCGGATAGTCAGGCCTAGGTGCCCTATCGCGGCGGCCGGTGGGACATCGGAGACACAGCGGATGCTGGGCTCCTGTTTAGGAGCTTAGTCGACGTAAACCCTAAAGCCGTAAACCCTAAACCCTGAATCCCAAACCCTTAAGTTCCGAAACCCAGGATGATTTGGAAAATGCTTGGATCCGGCGCTTTGGACCGGTCCGGCAGAGGACTACCGGGCTGGGCCTTTTTTTTGGTTTTGAGTTCCTTTAAGGGTTCCTGTAAGGGTTCCTTCAAAGGTTCCTTCCAGGGTTTCCAGGGCTTATAGGGTTTATAGGGTTTATAGGGAAGGGTTCCTTCCTTTATATAATTGTCTTCTTAAGAGGGATCTATAGAGCTTCTGTATGCGTTCATAGGGGGCTTAGGAGTTTAGGGTTCAGGGTTTGTGGGTTCAGGGTTTAGGGGGCCCAGGTTCTGAGGCTCATACATTCTTACCGGTACCGCAATCGCAAAGTAAGATATTCTTCGGGTATGTTATAAATTCCAGCCCATTTTTAAACATATGAAGCGGTGTAGAGTGCTGAGAGCTAGCCATTCAGCTGCCAGGATCCATGAAGTGTTTGGCTGCTATGTGCCAATCTTTGTCAATTGGTTCGGCTTACTCCACAAGGATCGTTCAGACTACCAACCTTACAAACGTGCTTGGGCAACTGTGGCCACAGCTATATTGTACAACCCGGAGTGCAACTTCATAGCGCTGTCTGTCCTCGACCGAGGGCCAACCGTTCCAGGGGGATCAAAAAAGGTGAGTTGTGTTGACGAGATGCCGAACCTGATGCTGTTCGGGTCCTCTCATGGACACGTTCCCATCCCGCTGGTCAGAAAGGATAGCTGCTCGATGCAGCATCTACCTACTCGGTACTATGTTGCATGTATGGGTCGGCATGGCTACGCACGCTCGGTTGTTCTGGAAGCTCTGCGGACAGACGCCTTCTTGTCTGCGTTGGCAGATACTCTGCCATGTTGAGCAACAATTTAAATCTTTGTGGGTACCTAAACCCAATAAGGAATCAACATGTTAGGTTTTTAATACTACCTTAACCCCACGTAACCTACCTTTTTAAGGACTTAGATAAAGAAATCATATTAGGGAACCCTAAAAAGGTAGGTTCCTTAGGGTCCAGGTATCCAAACCATGAACTAGGATATGAGCCCACCCTGGCCGCGTGAAGATCTGGTTTTCACCGGCCTGGCTCCAGGGGGGCGTGCCGGGTTCGAGAGTATCGCCTCCCAGTCGAAGTTCTGCATCGTGACTGCCAGGTTGGGTCTCTCCTAAACCCAAAACCCAAAACCCTGAACCCTAAACCCTAAACCCTAAACCCTAAACCCTAAACCCAAAACCCTAAACCCAAAACCTCAAACCCAAAACCTCAAACCCAGAACCCTAAACCCTTAAACCCCCGAAGCCCGAGCCCCAAAAGGCCCTAAACCCCTACAAGCCTAAACCCTAAAACCCCTAACCCCTAAACCCCTGAACCCCACGGTTTAGGGTTTAGGGTTTAGGATTTAGGGTTTAGGTTTTAGGATTTAGGGTTTAGGGTTTAGGGTTTAGGGTTTAAACCCCTAAGCCCTTAAACCCCTAAGCTCCTAAACCCTGAGCCAGGTTGGGTCGGAGTGCCTTCATGCTCGCTGAGGTGGTGCAAGTGGGGGGCTGCCTTCCGGTGTCCTGGGCGAACGCTTATTTGAAACGCTGCGCGTCGTCCGCCTCGGCCCGGCTGTACGCGCATGCGGCGAGTGGCTACTATCTGCAGCAAGCTCTTGTAGGAAAAAAGTATTGTCGTGCTTTCGGGTGCAGGTGTTGTCCGGGCTTTGAAAGTTTTTCAGGCTGGGGTTAGGCTGTAGGGTTAGGAATTCAGGTTTGAAACTCCCTTGGTACTGCAGCCTTACAAGCGAGCCCCAATTTTTCAGGCTGGGGTTAGGGTGTAGGGCTAGGAGTTCAGGTTTGAAACTCCCTTGGTACTGCAGCCTTTAAAGGCGCGCCCCAAGAGATAAACATGCTACATTGCAGTCCGGTGTCGTCGGAAATTGCCAGAAAGCTCGCACCTGTCAGCGAGCGGAGGACGGGCGGGAGGGAAGGGGGAGGGGGGGGAGGGGGGGAGGGGGGGTGGGACTGCCGACAGCCAAAATCCGTAATTCACCGCCGTACCTTGGAGCTCAGTGACACGTTTCCATTTTTAAGGGGGGGGGGCAGTGGCCCCGATTTTGGTGTGGGTCACTGGGGAGGGGATTAAGGTGGGGAATAGAGGGAATCCGAATAGGAACCTCTGACCGCTTCGGCCGGGGCCGAGGCGAATTTTATAATGAAGGGTGTTTTATACACACATTTTAGACTTTGAACGGGTGTAGGGGTTTCGGGTGTAGGGTTCATTCTGTATTGAAGGGTATTTTGGACTTTTAGAACTGAGGTTTCATAGTTTTTTGACGGACTTTTGGGGTTCTAGAACAAAAACTCAGGTGTATATACATCTGGGATGACGAGGGTTCACTATACTAAGCCCTAAACCCCAAAGCCCTACTCTAGACCCAAAAAACCCTAAACCCTAAGCCCGCAACCCTCAACCCTAGCCGTGACCCGAAGCCCTAAACGCTTAGGTCTACATCTGGGATGATGTGGATTGGGCGGCGCTCGGAGGCTCAAAGGGGAAAAGGAGGGACCCTTAATAAGGACCCCTAGGTATATACCCTTAATATAGCTATTATATACCCATTATATAGCCCATTGTAGGGGGTCCCCATTAAGGGCCCTTCCTTACCCCCTAAACCCTAAACCCTAAACCTAAAAGGAACCCTAAGAGCCCTAAATTAAGGGTCCCTCGTTCTCCCCTTGGAGAGGCAGCAGCAACTTGACATCGTTCGGGCTGAGCCTCCAGGTGGGTAGTTGTCAAAATTAGGGTCGCTTTTTGGGTACCCTAAATATTAGGTGCCGTATTATAACAAGGACCCAAAAAGGGACCATAATTTTGACAACTACCCAGGTGACCCAGCTCTGGAAGCTTCCAATCCTGCCACGCGGATTGCGGGGAAAATACGGTTGATGATATAAATCCTGCACTACCTTAAGGACCACAGACTATGGGAATTATGGTATATTCCTTATTAATCTGGGTAATGCAGGATTTATATCATCAACAGCATACGCGGTTTGGGATTGGGGATTTTGGGTGTTGTTAGGGGCTCGGGGTTCAGGGTCTGGGGCTCAGGGTTTGCGGCGCTTGAGTTTGCCATGCCTCTGTTTGGATGACATGATTTCATCATGCGATCTTGGTCAAATGGCATCAAACCGGTGAAGGTAGAATACATGGTAATACTAGTTCTTTCAGCTCGCTACTATACGTACTTAGAGGATCATGGGACTTAGTAAGTAGGTTGTAATTGGGGTTATAAGTCCCCTAAAGGGGGGTTATCCTAGTTATAACAACTTACTTATAACCATACTTACTAAGCCCCATGATCCTCCAAGTAGTTCTTTCAGCCCGCTACTATACGTAATAGTTATCGCAGAACCGCTCCGAGCCAATCTCAGTTTACTCATTAGGCCTTAGGCCCCAAACCCTAGGCCCTACATTGGCCCTAAACTCTCCCTAATCCCTGAACCCTAAATCCTAACCCCTTTAATAGGGCCACAAAAAAAGCACATAAGCAAAACTTAGGATCGGGATGTCCCATATAAACTCCCTTTTCCGTGAAGCCCAATGAGGTCGGGATATCCCTATAAAATCCTCATGCTTACGTGCTTTTTGGGTCCCTCATTTAGGGAACCCTTAACGGGAGCTGGAAACTCCATTTCAGGCTGCGTCGAATCACGGACGAGAAGTATGCCATGATGAAGAAGAACATGGAGCGATCGAGGACCGGGTGTTTAAAGGATCATGGGACTTAGTAACTAGGGTTCCTTAAAGGGCTCCTTAAAAGGGATCTATAAGGGCTCCTTAAAGGGGGATCTACAGGGTTCCTTATAATGGGATCTATAGGGGTTTAGGGTTTAGGTCTACTTAAAGGATCATGGGACTTAGTAACTAGGGTTATAATGGCAACTGTACTTATAATAATTTATATCCCCACTTAGGGTACTTGTAACCGTACTTACTAAGTCCCATGACCCTCCAAGTGTGTCTTCAAGGTTCCATACGGGTTTAGGGTTTAAGCTTTCCGGGTTCAATAATTGCGTTATGTTTTTTTGATTTTGGGGTTTGAGGTTTAGGGTTTAGGGAGCGGTTTCGATAGGAGTTGTGGAAGATTTTGGAGGTTAGAGTTTCATAGATGTTGCGCGGGTTAAGGATGTTCAGCCCTAAACCCTATATAAACCCTAAACCCTTAACCCTGAACCTAGACCCTTCCTTGAGCGACTCTACTCTACAGGGCCCTTCAACAATGATGCGGGTTAGCGCACCATTTTGAGAGCTCCTCCGCATCAAGTATTCGGGTATAGGATCTGTCTACTTGCCTCAAGAAGCCATGTCCTAAACCCTAAACCCTAAAGCCCTAAAACCCTAAAGCCCTAAACTAGGGCTGCCTACACAATGCCTGGAACTCTGGGGGCCACCCGATTGCAAGGACCTAGGAGTCTTTTTCTAGTTTCTCCGGTTTTAGGCAGGATTTTTAGGGTTGAGGGTTTGGGGGAACCCTACACTTAACCCTGAATTACGGTTTAGGGTTTAGGGTTTAGTGTTTAGGGTGAATTGAGGGGCCACGCAGTGCTCTAGGGTTGAAGTCTTCATCAAGCTCTTTCCAGCCGCAGGTTCACTTTTTGCAAGATTGAAGGCAACCTTGCTGAGGCAGAAGCTTGGGTTTAGGGTTGAACCATACATCCTAAACATTGACGCCTCAACCGGACCCTAACCCTCAATCCAAACCCCTAAACCGTAAGCCCTGAACCCTAAACCCTGAGCCCTAAACCCGACCTCTGCTGGAAAAGGGGCTATTGCACTTAAAAAACAACCCCTGAACCCTAAACCCAAAACCCCTGAACCCTAAAGCCTAAAGCCCTAAGCCCCTAAACCCCTGAACCCTAAACCCTAAACCCCTAAACCCCTAAAAAAGCCCTGAACCCTAAACCGAGGCAATCCGAGACTTCATGCTTGGGTTCCCTACACTGCGCTACCTGCCGTTGCCTCCTGAAAGGGCCGCTTACGCACAAGCGCGGCTCTTCAAGCACCCTGCCGGGAAACATCGAGGGCTTAGGGGTCTTAAGGTTTTTAGGCTTTTTAAGGTTTCAGGGTTTTTAGGGTTTTAGGGTTTTAGGGTTTTTGGGGTTTTTAGGGTTTTAGGTGTCGGGTCTAGGGTGTTCAGGTGTCGGTCGGATCTAGGGTGTTTCGGTGTCGGATCTAGGGTGTGCAAAGGCTTGGGTTAAGTACGCTGAGCAGTTGGAGGCTATAGAGGCCTTGTCCACGTGCCCGCTGAGGAATTGAACGTGTTGCATGATTTCTGGAAATAGTTGCAGGAGGGATCTTCAGCGCAGAATGCACAGCTAAGAAAGGCATGCAGGCTGTTTTGGAATCAGGTGCGGTCGGAACATAGCATAAAGAGATAACAGCTAATCCTCCGAAGTTTGTAGGTTATGGTCTGAGTGGAACCTGTATAGTCCCCAACCAAGAGCTGGTAAATGGCATCAGTAGTGCGCTACTCGTGGAACTCGCACATCAATAACAGTCAAATTTTGTTTCTAGATGTTCTACAGAAGTTGGGTTTAGAGTTCCCCCGACAATTTTGCGGCATGTTTTTCGGTTGTCATGGATGTGCATATGGGAGTTTCCGAAAACAGGGGACCCCAATATAGTACTCTAAATAGTAGGATCCTTATTGTAAGGACCCCAAAATATGGTACCCCTATTTTCGGAAGCTCTAAACCCTAAACCCTTTATAGAACCCTTATAGATCCCTTTAAGGAACCCTTAAACCCTTAACTGATCCCCAAATAAGGTACCCCTATTTTCGGAAACTCCCATATCCGGACCGAAAGCCTCAAGCCCCCCAAACACCTTCGGAAACGCCTCGATGCTTCAGTGCGAAAGGTCGGTTTAGGGTTTAGGGGTTTAGGGTTTAGGGCTTAGGGTTTAGGGGTTTAGGGTTTAAGTTTTTTTGCGACATTCCCGAACCTGACATTATGTTTCAGTTGTTTAGCTATGCAATCTCCTGCAAACGTTGCAAACCCTAAACCCTAAACCCGCGGATTGTGAGTCCCGGAACAAGCCAACACCCAAATCTGAACGTTCATCCATGACTTGGCTTCTAAATCAAACTGAAACCCAATGAACTGGAAGCCTTGCATCACGGTCTTGGCACCCCTGCACGGTGGCCTAGCGTGGTTGCTGATGATGATGATGACAATGATTATGACAATGGGGACCCAGACACAGACTGGTACGCCGTCACTCATCGTGACATTCTTGGCGTGCCGGACTTGGATCTGTGGCTTCCAACAGTATCTACACGTCTTTTGCTTGCTATATGTCATGACGATTGATGCATTGGTCTAGCGATTCGGCACACCATGAGTGTGCTCTGTCCAGACGACATCGTTCCAGTCCTTCCCACGATTGAAAAAACCTAACGAGCCTCTTATTCAACTCCATCTGTGCTTAATGTGCGGGTGGGAATCCTGATAGTCCTTATACCATTGTAGTACACTTCGACCTAGCAAGGCCCCTATATTGGCTTCCGAGGATTGGCAGAGATGGAGTGCGACGCGTCTGGGCCAAGGGGTCTCGATCTGCTGCGTAGGGTCTGGACAGATGACCACCATGCTGCCGGAGCATGTGGGCTGCCCACCTGTCGCGCGACATGCCGAGCAGCCTCCCACCGAGACTCCCGTGCGTTCGCAGGCCTGGCAGTCCCCGGCGAAACTTCGTTCCTGCTGTGAAATGTTGAGGTTGCAGGGAGTGCATGTTTCTTCGGGCATGGTGGCAGTCTACAGCAGAGCAAGATCCCAACTTGGACTGGTTGGCATGGCATCGCGATTTTGCTTGTATTTGCAGACTGTCCTGGATCTCCTGTGCAGTACGCTGATGGCCCAGTGGCTGCTGGAGATATTTCTGGACTGCATGCCCCAAGCAGTTGTTGGTTTCTTGGCTTGATGGGCACAGCACTGCTTTGCTCGCAACGTGCCTTGCCGCTGGACGGGGTCTTTCGCTTCTTTTTGCGAGTGGGGATCGGAAGAGCTTCAGCCGAACACCCAAGGCCAGTTTGAGGGGCTTAGGTTTTGGGTTTACGCAGTGAGCGGTTTTGAGTTTGAACAGAGTTTAGGGTTTAGGGATGTGCATGGTGTCTTGAACCTCCGCTAGAGGACTTTGCAAGTGGCACTGCAGGTCGTTCCACGTAAATCCTGCTCACATGGCTTCGCAGAACATTACTTGCCAGGTGCCACTTTGGGAAAATTTCTAGTTTCCGTTGTGGTCCCATCCAGGTATCTATCCGTGAATACTTTCGGGGGCCGCAAAGCTACAGCCCAACATATCCTCCTCCTGGGGCATTGCGTGGCTGGTTTTGTTTGGTAATACTGGTTTTCATGCGATTGCTGCTGAGTTGAACTGGTTCTGTTTTTCGATGAATGATGAGCGTGATACCGTCGCTACTTCACTGTGACACTTGTCAGTATGACGAGTAGTGATTTTATCAGTGCTGTTAGATTGTGCCGCTTCTCTGTGCAACAGTACTCGTGATGCGAAGAATGGTGCTGCTGTCGGTTCGGCAATTAGTGAACGACGACAAAAGCAGAAGCACAGACAGTAGTAGCAAGTCTTTATAGTTGCGGCAATCGTAGCACCCGTGCCAACACTGTTGCTAGCATCAGTAGCCAAAAGAGCATCAACGACAACAGCCTTGACGAGCTTTGTTGTGCTAGAAACTCATGCGAACATCAAAAAAGGACTCTGCAGTAACTCTAGCATCGAAATCTCGCAAGAACGGAGCAAGCAGAGTAAGAGCAACCAGAACATCATGGAAGATACTTGAAGATGCAGCAACTACTGCAATGAGCTGACGGCAACAATAAAGATAGCCGTGATCTTCAGAACTGGCAGTACGAAAATTGGGCGAGGCCTCATATTTGTAGATGAGCACAGCCAGCCGCAATCTCCACAACATCTGCTTTAGGGAACTACCCTTGTAGAATTTATCTCTATGCACTCCAACTCCCTTCACGACAACCCAACCCCGCAAAGCCTATCCCCGAAACCCTGAACCGTAAACCCTAAACCCAATCACAAAACCTAAGTGGCATCTTTTGGCAGGTGCAGAGACATGACCAGGGGCAAGAGCCTGAGTTTCCCCGCTCCCGGGTTGAGGGTTTAGGGTTCAAGGTGCCGGGTTTAGGGTTTGGGGTTTATGTCATAGTTGGGTAACATTTTAAATTCTTATGGGTATCTAAACCCAATAAGGCATAAACATGTTTTTTCAAGCACCATCCCAACCATGATTTCGGGCGGTTTAGGGTTCGGGGATGGTGTGCAGCTGACAAAGAAGCCCACTATCCTAAAGAGGTTTTTGAACACTTCTGGGGCTCTGGCTGGACTTTATACATCTTGTTGTTCCAGAGCCGAAGCCTTAAAACGGATACGGCTTCGTCAGGGAATCTTGGAATGTATGTCGGAACTACTTGTACAGGGATCAATAGGGGATCTGCATGGGATCCATAAGCGAGTACACGGGATGCAAAAGGTGTCAGGGTTTGGCTCTCCGTTCCAGACAAACCGCACCAAACGTTGCACGTATCACCTTGGGCGAGAAAACCATGAACCCAGAGACTCCAATATCCCATAATTAAGGAATATACCTTAAATTATAGTAGGATCCCCAATATGATTCAAGGAATTTTCCTGGATTAAGTAACATATTGGAGTCTCTAGGAACCTTACGTCCTAAAGCCCAAAAGGCCATGAGCCTCCTACCTTGTATCCCAAACCCTAAAGCCTAAAGCCCTAAACCCTAAACCTCCAAGTGGGTGCTGCTTCTGTCCAGCTTGTGGGATTCGGGAAGGTCGGGCATGATGTGCAAGATGTTGATGGAAAGGGTTTAGTATAGGGCCTCAATAATTAGAATAGGGTTTTGGGGCCCATTGTACTGTAATCACAATAAGGAACCTCCAAAATGGTATAGGAAATTATTTGGCCCCTACATTAGGGTTTTAGAATTCAGTGCTTCAGGTTTTAGCGGTTTGTAGGGTCTACGTAAGGTGTTGGTGTTTTGGCGTCGTGAGCCTGTCGACTGCCCTTCGCAGACATTTGCAGCAGAGATTGTTGCGACTACCCACGGTCCGCCCACGGTAGGAGATTTTTCAAGAGGCCCGTGCCCGGCCATTTTCCCAAAGGGACGGAGCCCATCAGCGACGTGTAGAGCATTGGCTCTAAAGACTGTCACTCGGTTGCTCTTTGGGGGTTTAGGGGTTAGGGGTTTAGGGTTTTCAGGGTTTAGGGTTTGTAAGAGCTTTGGATACCTGTATAGACAACTCCAGAAAGTTGGAATATGGATTAATGGTAGGATCCCCTAGAATTTACCTTAAAGGGGTTACGATAATGATATTCCAACTTTCTGGCTTTTACTGTAGGGTTTGTAAGAGCTTTGGATACCTGTAGGAACCCCAAAGCCACAACCGAGGTCAGAAGATGCTTGGTAAGATCACGGACCAATCGGACGACGACGCCAACAGCCACTGGGCAGCTAGTACTTAAAGGATCATGGGACTTAGTAACTAGGGTTATAAAATAAGGTAACTATACTTATAATTACTTATATCCCCACTTAGGGTACTTATAACCATACTTACTAAGTCCCATGATCCTCTAAGAAGTAGCCTTTAGAGGGACTCAGGGTATAGGGTTTGGGGGTTTGGGGGTTTAGGGGTTTAGGGTTTTAAGGGTTTAGGGTTCTACTCCCTTCCCAGACCTTCTTTGGAGGATCCAAAAAGTAGATCCCTTAGTGGGGCTTCCTGTAAAGTACACTTCGTAGTATCGGGCCCCAAATTAGGGGATCTACTTGCGAGATCCTCCCGGGGGTCTGGGAAGTAGCCCTTGTCATGAGACGTGTCTAGATGGCCCTAGACCGGAAACCTTAAACCTTAAGCCATGCCGCTCAAACCACAAACCCTAACCCGAGTGCAGGAACCTGATTGAGAAACCCTGGGCCTAGAACCCCAAAATAGTAGGATTCATATACGGAACCCTACTAAAGGCCCAAGGTTTCTTTAATCAGGTTCCTGCATTAGCTCTTACAGCCAGCGTCCCACAAGGCCAGAGCGACAGCACCGCAGCGTGCATGCTGACCTCCTCCGACTCCTCCTATTCCGGGGACGACGAGCCACAGGTGCAGTGCTTGAGGTTTAGGGTTTCCTTCAAGCTGCCGAAACCGACTTGTTGTAGGCTCTTTCCGTACCTTTTTATAGAGTTGATAGGGACCCGGCAAAAAATAGGATTTGGCAGTTCAAGGTAGGGGGCGCGGGCTCAAGGTTCAAAGCTTGCTTCAGGGCCCTCGGAGTTTGCAAGTGAGGGTTTTTATCTGGCCGGGTGTTATTTCGGTTTGATGCGGTTTGTCTTTTCATGAAGGCGTTGCTGCCGCTTTTCGGATTTGTTGTCTGCGGTGTTGGGTGTAGCTCCACGGGTGCAGATGAAGACTTGCGAGGGTGTGCAATCTGAACATGAAGCCCTTGCTGCATGTTTTTGAACAGTGTGCCAGCGGTAGGGGTGTCTCGTGGACTGTGCGGCATTGCAATGTACCGTTCTGAGCAATTTCAATAGGGCTTTGGGTACAGTATGTGCAAAATTTGCCGCAGGCGAGAAAACAAGCACGAAACCCTAGACCTGTCAAATCGCATTTGCCCTAAACCCTAAACCCTAAACCCCAAAATCCTAAACCCTAAACCCTAAACCCCTAAACCCCAAAACCCTTAAACCGTGGCTCGTTTGCCTCGGGGGAGCCAGTGTGTTGGCTACGGCATGGATGAAGGGGAGACTTCAGTGTTGGAAGTAGATCCCTTAATGGGGGTGGGTACTTTAGGGGTTCCTTTAAGGGTCCCTTTAAGGGATATATTGGGTTTTAGGGTTTAGGGTTTAGGGCTTAGGGGAGGATCCAAAAAGTAGATCCCTTAATGAGGGTTCCTATTAAAGTACCCTTAGTAGTATAGGGCACCAAATTAGGGGATCTACTTTCTAGATCCTCCAACCCAGGGTGAGTTCGAGGAGTAATGTGGGAGTTTCCGGAAACCCTCATGTGTTTGCGTGACAGGTAAAGGTTGTCCTGTCCTCCTGGCTGTGAGAGCTTTGGGCATAATGTATCAAAAAAGGGTCCCGACAAATAAGCCATAGACCCAAATATTGAAACTCCAATAAGTAGCAGAACATTCCTTGGTGTTCTTTACTGCAACTATTGTGTAGTATACCCCACAACCGTTTGAACAAACAAGGCCCCTGTATTAAACCCCCGTGGCAACCCTGTAGAGCCCAGAACCCCTACTATTGAGCTCTCGTTATCAAGGCCCTTCTCCCTTAACCCTACACCGTAGAACTGTTACAAACCCCTGAAAAGAAGCTTTGATGGCACCCTGAAAGGAACCCTTAAACCCGAAACCCTAAAATCGTAAACCTTATAAACATTAAAGCACCCTGAAGCAGGCCGGATCCTGGCTGCTCTTCAACCAACCGATCGAGTTGAAGAACACTTTCGTGCACTTCTCCGGGTCGAAGAGGCCGTGGTTTTGGGTTTCGGGTTTCGCAATCCATTTTTTTGGGTGTATATAGGGTATGCTTCCCATAAGGGTCGCGGTTATGGGGTTCACATGGGGTGTGCAAGGGTGTTTGCAGATTTTTTACAGGTTCCATATCGGCTCCATCCCAAATCATGACCAAAGAGTAGGCTGTTACCATATACCCTAAACCCCCAACCGCAGGGTGCAGGGCTTTTGGCCTTTTGGGTTTTAGGGCTTTGGGGTCTGTGCTTTTCAGCTTACGGTTTAGATGGACCCCTGACCCTCAGAAGCACTAAGCCCCAATCCAACGAAGCTCTTTATGTTAAATACCCCAGTCCTACACCTTTTGTGAGTTATGAAGTCCTCCTCATAACAGCAACTGAAACCTTGCACCAGGCCCTGTAGAAGGCTAATGTAGGGGCCTTAATAATTGGAATAGGGTTTTGGGGTATAGTATACTGTACTTATCATAAGGAGCCCCCTACAATAGTATTAGTAATGATTTAAACCCCTATATTACGGCAACCCAAACAGGACGAACAAGCGCCGTGCCACTTGCCCCGGGTTGCTCCAGTCTATGATGTCGCTCGGCTGACTTGGGGCTTTGGAAGAAGGCCCGTGGTGGCTACTTGGAGGATCATGGGACTTAGTAAGTATGGTTATAAGTACCTTAAGTGGGGTTACAAGTAAGTATAAGTATAGTTACCTTAAGTATAACCCTTGTTACTAAGTCCCGGGATCCTCTAAGTAATTGTCTCATAAGACCCTTCCAAATCGTAGACGTTTAGGGTTTAGGCTTTTATCTTGAAGTTAGGCTGACGGCCTTCTTTGTGCGTGTGCCCAAGTGCCTTCACCGCAGTTTTGCAGTGAAGACTTTCGAAAAGCTCTCAGAGTTTAGGGTTTAGAGGTTAGGGTTTAGGGGCCCTAAGCTTCTACAGTACGAGACTACTTAAACCCTATACTTACAATTACTTGTGTCCCATGATCCTCCAAGTACTCCCCAAGCATCGTGGTGACGCCTGGGGGTGCTTCCGCAGGCGAGAAGGGATCAGATCCAGGGGTCATCCCCAGAGCCTCCCAAAACCCCTTAATTAAGGAATATACCTTCAAGTCGATCCAGGGTTTAGGTACTTTTTTTGTGAGCAAGCACGAGATGAGGGAGGAGTTTAGAGGGCCTCTATACCCAGAGCCTCCAAAACCACTTAATTAAGGAATATCCCTTAAAATATAGTAGGATCCATAATATGATTTATGGAATATACCTTAAAGTATAGTAAGATCCATAATATGATTTAAGGTATATTCCTTAATTAAGGGTATAGTAGGATCCGTAATATGGTTTAAGGTATATTCCTTAATTAAGGGTATAGTAGGATCCGTAATATGATTTACGGTATATTCCTTAATTAAGGGTATAGTAGGATCCGTAATATGGTTTAAGTTATATTCCTTAATTAAGGGTATAGTAGGACCCGTAATATGATTTAAGGTATATTCCTGAATTAAGGGTATAGTAGGATCCGTAATATGATTTAAGGTATATTCCTCAATTAAGTATAGTAGGATCCATAATATGGTTTAAGGTTTATTCCTTAATTAAGTATAGTAGGATCCGTAATATGATTTAAGGTATATTCCTTAGTTAAGGGTATAGTAGGACCCGCAATATGATTTAAGGTATATTCCTTAATTAAGTATAGTAGGATCCATAATATGATTTAAGGTTTATTCCTTAATTAAGGGGTTTTGGAGGCGCCTGGGTCTGCAGGCGCCCACATTTCCAGCTCGGGCCCTGTAATGTAGGAACCACCGGTTTGTCGTATAGGCTCCATCGGGGTTCCTTTAAAGGGATCTATAGGGATTCCGTAAAGGGTTCCTTTAAAGGGATCTATAGGGATTCCTTAAAGGGTTCCTTTAAAGGGACCTGTAGGGGATTCCTTAAAGGGTTCCTTTACAGGGACCTATAGGGGTATGTAGGAACCTGATTAAGATATTCTAGGCCTATAACACCAAAATAGCAGGATTCGTACAAGGAGCCCAAGTAAAGGCTCAAGGTTTCTTAATCACGTTCCTAAAGTACGCCCAAAGTCCTACACTTCTTTACTCCCCGCCACAGTGCTGTGAGTATTTTCGGTGTCCGATTTAATTTGGCAGTCACAGTCGGACCGATCTAAGCGGTACCAGAATTTGGCGATGGAAGTGCTCGTAGGCAGGTCAGTTCTGCACTACTAGGGTGGTCTACACTCGCAGAAATAAGTTTTGTCATTGTCTTATATGCTCTATCCTAATTCCAGGGTCTATCACGTCTGGTTTTGGGGGTTTTGGACTGGAGTGGGGTTTAGATAGGACTCCCGTCATTTATGGCGCATATTCGGGTTCAGAACGTCCCAGGACGAGCGAAGCCGTGGTGATGACCGGTCTCCCGCAGTCGTTGCAGCCGGCGGTGTTACGCGCATCAAGCTTCGCAAGCCACACTTTCTCTCCAGCGCAGGACCACCCAAAATCACAAAACCTTAAAGAACCCGTTTTGTACCCTTCCATGGAACCCTTGTAATAGAGCCTTCCAGGGAACCGTGAGCTCTAAATCCAAAACCCTACTCCCAAAACCTTAAACCCTAAACCTACGTCCAAAACCCTAAGCCCTGAAGGATGCGGCCCGCCCGCAAGATCTTCAGCACCCAGCTGTGACGCCAAGTAAGGTGGGGAGATGCAGGAAAGAGGGCAGGGGATTTGGGTTTGGGGTTTAGGGTTTTGGGGTTTAGGCTTTAGGGTTCAGGCTTTAGGCCTTTAAGGCTTTAGGGTTTGGGTTTAATAGGCTTTTTCAGGTTCTTGTCAGGTTCTATTGTTTCAGCATAGGGGCCTTTATAGCTCGAAGAGGGTTTGTTGGTACATTATTATTAACCGCGCAACAAAATGGGTATTCTCATTGTAGGAGCCTTATATCCGTGTAGAAGCTCTATGAAAGCCTTTGGATTTGCAAGTGATTCGTTTCTAGATGGTCCCATGACTGCCTGCATAAACCCTAAACCCCTTAACCCTAAACCCTAAACCCTTGGTCGCCGCCGTGTGTGGGGTGGATGTGGTCGCCTACTACGTGGTCGTCTTGCTCCTTCTTGGTGAGTTTGACAGGAGAGGGGTCGGCATGGGTGTGCCTGGTGCTGAACCATGCTTTTCCCCGGGTGACTTGCTCTTCGCCGACTACCTGGACGTTGCCGACTGCTTCGATGAGCTCGTCGTGGGGGTGGTTGACGTGGTCGTCGTGGCCTCACATTGAGTGTGTGAGTGGGGGAAGAAGCATGGCCTATCGACCATGTGGTTGTCGGCTGTGATGGTGGGGTGGAGTCCAACCTCGCCTGTGGCTGAGTCGTCCGATGGGGTGGTGTCGTGTTGAGTGGATGGTGGTTGCATCACGTGTTCCCCTACAGCCCTGGTGCTGAAGACGTCCTGAAGTCCTACTGAGATGGGGATGGTGTTTGGATGTAGTTGAGAGCCGACTGTCGGCAGACGTAAAAGTCAACTCAACTTAAAAAAACCCTAAACCCTTAAGCCTAAACCCTCAACCCTCAACCCTTAACCCTAAACCCTCAACCCTCAACCCTTAACCCTTAACCCTCAACCCTTAACCAAGCCTAAACCCTTAACCCTAAACCCTAAACCCTTCAGCCTAAACCCTAAACCCTAGACCCTTAACCCTGCAGGTGAAGGACACCGACTTGGCGCACCAGAGGCAGCTGAACAAGGATCTCATCGCCGCCGCCTCGGGCCCGCACGCGGCCTTCCAGGTCATGGGTTCAGGGTACTACTGTTGATGATATAGATCCTGCATGACCCATCATAAGGTATATACCATAATTCCCATAGTTTAGGGTCCTTAAGGTAATGCAGGATTTGTATCATCAACCGTATAGGGGCCTTAATAATTACCTATAGAATTTTTGAGGGTTCCTTATTACAAGTATAGAAGAATACATCCCCAAACGCTAACCTAATTATTACGGCTTCTATATTGCAGGGGTTTGGGGTTTAGGGTTCGGGAGGTTTGTAGTTAGGGGTTCAGCGGTTTTTGAGCAGTGAGGGTTGAGGGTTTAGCGTCCCGCGGTTTAACGTTTAGGGTTTAGGGCTTAGTGATAAGTGGAAAATATACAGGTTGCCATAAAGGGTGCTTTCAAAGGTTCATTTGCGTGCAGCTGAAAAGGGCTTTGGTTGAGGTTCGGGGGTTTTGGGTTTAGGGTTTCGAGTTAAGGGCTTGTGGGATTCAGAGTTTAGGGTTTTATTGCTCAGGTATGTGAGCTCCAGTCAATGTCAGGGCATTTGATTTGTGCTAGAGGCTCGCAGAGTTCAGAGTTTATGGTGCCCTAAACCCTAAACCCTAAAAACTGAAACCCTGAACCCCTAAAACCCTAAAACCCTAAACCCCTGAACCCTGTAACCTGAGCTGTCAGCCCTGCCTCCTGGCCTTCTTGGCCTTGACGTTTGTCAGGCAGCATGAAAGGCAGTAGAAGGGTTTAGGATTTAGAGTTTAGGGCATTGGGTTTAGGGTTTAGGGTAAGTGAGGTTATAAGTACCTTAATTGGGGTTATAAATAGATATAAAAATAGTTACCCTAATTATAACCCTAGTTACTAAGTTCCATGATCTTTTAAGTAAGGGTCCATGTGCCCAAACCCCAAACCCCCAAACCACGAAACCCAAACCTCTTAGTCGGTATGGTATGCTCTTCATGAAGGCTCCAGCTCCTATCGGGTGTATGAGTACTCTGGACAGTAGCTCACATAATGTAGGGCTGCCCAAGACCGTCAGGGTTTAGAGTTTACTGTAAGGTTTAGGAGTTTAGGGTCCCATTCTAATTTCATGGCCCCTGCATCACGTTTTCACAGCAGTTGTGATGCTTTGTGCATGTCGCAGGTTCACACCACGGTGCTGCGCAGTGTTATGGGTCAAACAATTGCTCGATATAATCGCAGCACGTACCGAATCTGGCCAAAATGCAACTTGCAGGGCAGTAGCCCTTAACCCTAAACCCTAAATCCAAAACCCAAAACCCCAAACCCAAAACCCAAAACCCAAAACCCTAACCCTAACCCTAAACCCTAACCCTTAATTCGACAGAACCGACCCGAGACCTTGCAATCCTAAACCAGGACCTGGAGTAGGCCCTTATTCCCTTTTTTGGGGGTTCATGTTCCCTTATAAGCCCCTTCAAACCAAGAAGGGCACCCTTTTTATGCCTAGGTTACTCTTGGGTCTTAAGGCCCATGATAAGGACTAATAAGGCCTATTTAAGGAAATATAGTCCCCTACACCCCTCCCCCCTACACCCCTAAGGATCCCTATGATAAACCCGAAGCGCTCAGCCTGATGTCAGGTGCTCGACCTCCTCTCGAAGAACCTGTGCCATAGTTGGGTAAAATTTTACATTTTTAGGGTTTAGGGGTTTAGGGTTTAGGGTTTAGGGTAAAATTTTACATTTTAAGGGGTACGTAAACCCAGTAAGGAATAGAAGTTTAGAATTTTAATACTATCCCAACCATGAACTAGGAACCTGGAGAGCATGAACGGCGTAAACCTGGCGACGGCCATACATCGCATCTCTCGTGCCTGCCAGGTGGGACAGCAATCCCTAATGTCGAGTAGGGTGCCTATCATCAAAGCATCTTTAAAACCTGCGTGCCGGAAACTTTCTAGTTTAGGTTATGTCCCCATCGAGGTATGATCTGTTCATAGATGCGTTCGGGAGCCCCGAAACTACAACCCAGAAAGTGCTTAGTAGGGAATGGGGAATGGATCCCTATAGTAGTCCCTATATAGTCCCCAATGGTAGTCTCCATAATCCATTCCCCATTCCCACTAAGAACCAGACAGTAAACCTGGAGGTGGATGGGAAGGCAGGGCAGATCAAAGACCATCCCACCTTCCGCCACCTCTTGCACATCACCGAGAAGATGCTGTGCCAAACACTGCCAGACGGCACGCCTCGTACCTCGGTCTCCCAGTGGGCCCTTTTTCTGCTCTTGTGGTCCCCGACGCCGAACAGAGAAACTTCTTTATTCCTATGATAGCGGGTCTCCTAATCCAAAAACCCAGGCATGCCCCCAAAGTGTTGCTCCGTCTTCGCATGGTCCTGCGCCAACCTTGGCATCTTCAGAGCCCTGGCTCTTGTTGAGGACCTTTTTGCAAGTGACCATGGTTTAGACATATGATCGTACGTGGTAGAAGCCCCTAAACACCATCGAAAGCCGTACAGAGCCTCATAGCACCCTCATGCATGCAGTTCCTTCAGGCTACGCCCAAAACTCTTGACGCTAAAGCTGTACATCTCTTAAGCTCGTCTCCTTGGCAAGAACCCAGGAACCCAACTTCTTGCACGGCTCGCACTTACAGCCGCACAGGGCTTGGGAAGCTGTGAGCCCCACGAAGCCGCGCACTTAGTGGTCCATTTCTGTGGAGTATAGGGTTTTACCAAACCCTCAACCTTAAGGATTCAGGCTTTAGGATGTTGGGTTTTTCAAGGGTACTGTAGTACAAGGCCAACCGCGAGACTTTGAAGTATACCACCCGTCAGCCCACTCAATGCGGTGTGTCTGTCTACGCTAGTTTTGCGCGATGTTGCACGGCCTGACTTGTCGAATTTTTAACCCTAAACCCTAAACCCTCAACCCTAAACCGGCCACTGCAAGTTTGTGGACGGAGGAGGCCTTGAACTTGCGTGCTTGGAGGATCATGGGACTTAGTAAGCATGGTCATAAGTACCCTAAGTGGAGTTATGAGTAGTAAGTACAGTTACCTTCACTATAACCGTAGTTACTAAGTCCCATGATCCTTTAAGTGGCGTTTCTAGAACCCGCGAGAGAAGCAGGGCATCTCTAACCTGACCACGACACCTGATATAGAGGCCTCATGTACAATGTAGCTTCTAGGGGTAATATAGGGCCCTGAGTGGTACATTATCGTAACAGTTATAGTAAGGAGCCTTATGAGGAGTATTATTGAAAATTATTCACGCCCTAATAGTACTTGTTGCTTGTGTTTCCCTAACCCTAGACCCGAAGTCCTAAATGCGAAACACCACACTCAGGTCACGAACCTGCTTTGGGCTTATGCAAGCCTTTGCAGGAATCGAAAGAGCAAGATGGCGAAACTGGGCTTTCGTTTAGGGTTAAGGGTTTTAGTCTTATAGTACATCCCGTTCTTCACCTTTGAAGGTACCACAATTCTGAGCGCTTAGACCTTGCAGATGCTTGCTAAGAACCTTCATCTTATACCTCCCTTTCTGAACCCACTGTTTCACCTAAGGTGACTGCAAATACTCCTAAAACTCTACACCTCAAACTGTTCACTCGAAGCCTTGATAGTCAAGGCCCTAAACATGATACACACCTTACAGGAATCCCTATAGATCCCCAAAGGAACCCCTTTTCGAGCCCAAAGGATCCCTTAAAGGAACCCTGATAGATCCCTTAAGTGAACCCAAAACAGGAAGCTCATGAGCTGAGGAAAGGGCTGGAGGCGGCTTTGACGGAGCTCATGAAGGCTTCCCTGGAGTTCCTGGTGCCTGAGCGGCTTCGAGCTTGGAAGCCGCAGATCTTGATGTCTGCCCCTGAGTGCTCTTTTTCCAAAGGAGGCCAAAAATGAGACTTTGATGTAGATTGCACGGAAATGTTGCTTGTCCTTCACCGAGTACTACGGTTGATGATAAAAATCCTGCATTGCCTTAAGGACCCTAAACTATGGGAATTATGGTATATTCCTTAATATGGATCTGGATAATGCAGGGTTTATATCATCAACCGTAAGGTCTGCCCTGGTCTCCTTGGTGGCGCTTCCTTGGCAGCCCTCCAGCCAGCAGGTGGGTGGTTGTCAAAATCATGGTCCCTTTTTGGGTCCTGAATATAATACGGCACCTAACATTTAGGGTTCCCAAAAAGGGGCCATGGATCTCTCCAGGCTCTAGGCTCCGTTAAGAGGGGGTTTTCCGAGAATAGGGGACCCTGATATAGTATCCTAAATAGTAGGATCCTTCTCATAAGGACCCCCAAGTATGGTCGTAATTTTGACAACCACCCAGGTCGTCTCTGACGTCCTGGATGCACTGGCCATGCAGCAGGCCGGGTTTAGGGTTTTGGGGGTTTGGGGGTGGGATGAGAGCCCACTGTATACCCTCAAGGGATCTATAGGCTTCCTTAAAAGGGATCTATAAGGGTTCCTTATAATGGGATCTATAGGGGTTCAGGGTTTAGGGTTTACTTAGAGGATCATGGGACTTAGTAAGTAGGTTATAATTGGGACTATCCCCTAAGTGGGTTCTCCTAATTATAACCTACTTATAACCTTACTTACTAAGTCCCATGAGCCGTTAAGTAGGGGGGTTTAAAGGGGGCTTCAGGGGGTTTAGGGTTTAGGGCTTAGGGGGGTTTACAGGTTCAGGGTATGAGGTCTAGTGACAGAGGTGATCGTGCTGCTGGTTCAGAGGTTCTAAGCGTTGCGTCTGATGTTTGGGAATATGGGGGCCTGAATAATATGACTGCAGTTTGGGCATATTATACTATAACTATATACGGAACCCTAGGAATATTGGTAGGTCCCTTTATTAGCCGCTGTTGCCATGTCGTTGTGGACACTGGCAGGAGCAGCTCGTCGAAGAGAACACGCGTCCAATATCAATTTTCTTCGAGGAGCTCCGCAAGAGGCATGCAGAGGCGGGGCTTTAGGGTTTAGGGCTTACGGTTTTAGGGTTTGGGGTTTAGAGTTTGGGGTTTAGGGTTCCTTTTTCAGTTCAGACGTGTGCCGTTCAGACCCAAAGCCCTGGATCACACAAAGGGGCTTCGACCAAGGCCGCAATACTGAAACGCGAGTTCTTCAGCTTAAAGGTTGTCCTCAGAAGATGCGAGCGGAAGAATACTTGGAGGATCATGGGACTTAGTAAGTATGGTTATAAGTACCCTAAGTGGGGCTATAAGTAGTAGTAAGTACAATTACCTTAATTATAACCCTAGTTACTAAGTCCCATGATCCTTTAAGTAGAGCGGGAATCGACGACTGGGACGACTGCGAAGACGACTGTGGCGACAGGGACGAGGGCGACCACGACGACGACGACAACGGCGGCGAGGAGGAGGAGGACGACGACCACTACTACACTACTACACTACTACACTACTACACTACTACACTACTACACTACTACACTACTACACTACTACACTACTACACTACTACACTACTACTACTACTACTACTACTACTACTACTACTACTACTACTACTACTACTACTACTACTACTAGTACTACTACTACTAGTACTACTACTACTACTACTACTACTACTACTACTACTACTACTACTACTATACTACTACTACTACTACTACTACTACTACTACTACTACTACTACTACTACTACTACTACTACTACTACTACTACTACTACTACTACCTACTACTACACTACTACTACTACTACTACTACTACTACTACTACTACTACTACTACTACTACTACTACTACTACTACTACTACTGCTACCATGCTCATGATTCTCGTTCATGAATGTCCTGCCGGGCATGATTTATTGATACTGTCGCCTCTGAGCAAAAGTAGAGCCGTTGCTGCTGATGATGATGATGATGCTGCTGCTGATTTTGGTGGTGGTGGTGGTGGTGGTGGTGGTGGTGGTGGTGGTGGCGTTGTTGTTGCTGGTGGTGGTGACACTGTTGGCGATGGCAATGTCCATCATCCTAACACCAAGGACGACGATGGCATCATGCATTTGTTTGCATCATGGTCATGGTCATCATCATGGTAGTCGGGTCTGCCAGTGTTGGCATGAAGATCATCATCGTCTTCACCGTCATAGCCATCACAATCCTGGCCATAGTCGCCACGATAATCTTGAGCCTAGTCGTGGTTAGCATCATCAGCAGCACCCTCCGAAGAATCATCGCAATCATTGACCATCATCCTAAGACCCTGAACCCTGAGCCAGGTGGCCCTGCAGATCGTGCCAGCTACTTCTCAGAAATGGCCCGGCTTCATGCAGCAATTTGCTGGTGGAGCCCGGAAAGGGCACGGTCGAAAGAATCGCAAAGCTTAACAGAGGGGCCTTAATTAGAATAGGATTTGGGGTCATAATGTAGAAGAACGTTAATAAGGAACCCCCAAAACAGCATTGGTAATTTGGCCAGGCCCCGGTAGTATCATGCCGATCTGCTCGATGCTATTCGGTCGCATTGCACAAGACTTCACCGTTCCAAACACTGGCGTGCTGTGTAGTGCGCGCAGTGTGCCATTTAAAGCAGTAGTCTGCAACTGGCGGACAGATGCTCAGCTGCAAAGCATGCAGCCGACTTCTTCAACTCAACGTGCGTAATCTCCTCCAAACTCTAAACTAAACCCTAAATCCCTAAACCACTAAACTCCAAAACCCTACAACCCTCGACCCGTAATCCCTGAACTCCCCTGAGTCACCTTCCAAACCCAGTAGTAACCTAATATTATCCCTCGTAGAAACCCTTGTAGTATCCCTCAAACCCTAAACCCTAAACCCTAAACCCTAAACCCTAAACCCTCAACCTTAAAGATGAACCCTCCCTCGCTACACCCCGTGCCCTTATAGTATTCCTATAGTAGCTATAGTAAGCTTCATAGGAGCCCTTGTAGTATCCCTTATTGTAACACTTCTAACTTGGTCCGAAACCATGGGCCGCCCTATGAAAGGGCTCTCCGAGAGCAGAAATCAGCTGCTCCACAGAGCTTTGGGATTTTGGGGTTAATTAAGGAATATACCCTAGGGTTCCTTTAAAGGGATCCTTCAAGGGATCTATAGGGTTTAGGGTTTAGGAATTAGGGTTGGAGGTTTAGGCAGGGTTTCGGGTTTAGGTTTGGCGGATGAGGGGTTCAGGGTTTACGTGGGAGGGGTTTGTGCTAAGGCTTGGGGCTTAAGGGCTTTGGGTTTAGGGTTTAGGGTGGGTTTCAAGTCTTAGGGTTCAGGGGGTTTGGGTTTGCGGGTTTACAAGCTTATTGTTTAGTGGCTTTGGGTTTGGGCACGGGTTTCATGAATGTTTACACAATTTTGAAAAGGTTCTGTAGGGCTTTATGAGGGTGTGGAGGTTTAGACCTCCGTTCGTAGGGTTGATGATATACATCCTACATTAGCCATCATTGATTATAATTCCCATAGTTTAGGGTCTTTAAGGTAATGCAGGATTCATATCATCAAGCGTAGGTGTCTGCAAACACCGACTTGGAAGGGAAGAGACAGGTATAATTTACTGGTTCAGGGTTCAGGTTTTCAGGTTTGGCAGCTGGTTTCTGCCTAGGTCCCCCAGTGGTGCCCCAGTGCTATGTTTATTTCTGTTGTCTCCTTATTCACGCGGGAAAGGGTGCACTTCTTCAGCAAGGGGTTACTGGGGAACCTTGCGGCACACCTCCTTGTCTTTGGCATGCACGTCTGTGCTCCTTTGCTGAATGTCACAGATACTCTTCTTTTCCACCGGCCGGTGGTGGCCTCAACCTATGACTGCATGCCTATGGTCTCCATTGTAGTGCCTTCCGGTCTTCGCAGGATCCTCGGCCTTAAACCCGAAGCCCTAAATCCTGGATGTCCGTAAACCCTAAACCCTAAACCGATTGGTTAGCCAAAAAAGGGACTACATTGGAGATGCTGGCCTGATTTTCGCTTGCAGGACCCAGAGACGCCACAACCCCTTTCATGAAACAAAGTCCGTAAACCCTAAACCCTGAACCCTTAAACCCTAAACCCCAAACCCCAAACCCTAAACCCTGAACCCTAAATCGGGTTCATGAAGCAAAGTACGTTTAGGGTTTAGTGTTTATAGTTCAGGGCCTCCTTACGGTTTGTAAATGGTTCAGCGTTTAGGCTCTAGGCTCTAGGTGTTTAGGGTTTAGGGGTTTAGGGGTTTATCAAAGGGGAAAAGGAGGGACCCTTAATAAGGACCCCTAGGTATATACCCTTAATATAGCTATTATATACCTATTATATATAGGGGTCCCCATTAAGGGTCCCTCCTTTTCCCCTTTGAGTTTAGGGTATTTGGAGTTCTACTGTCTAATGTAGATCCCAGGATGCCCTGTAAGGCCCCAGCAAGACCCCAGAATCCTGAGAGTCTTTAATGAAGAAAACTTGACAAAACCCGATGGAATACGATATTTCCATCCCTAGGTTTCCTTTTTCAAGAAAGCCTTAAATTGCCTTACAAACTGCTCCAAACCCTGAACCCTCGTGTCTGGAATGAATGGGTTTTGGACTTTCTGGGCCGCCCATGGTACAGCTCTTTGTACATCTCTTTTTGGAACCGCCCATAGTACAACTCTTTTCGGAAAAACGCGCGACCCTTTCCTCGTAAGGACCTGTAGGTGGGTAGGGGGGTAGGATGCCAAGAATACGGGCTTAATAAGGCCTATTTGAGAAAGTATAGTCCCCTACCCCGGTCCCCCTTACCCCCCCTAATGATTTTCGGCATGATGGTTTGGACTTCGGGTTTACGGTTTAGGGGTCTTCAGAGTTTGGGATATCGGGTTTACTGTTTAGGGTGGCGGCTTAGCAACAACCGCAAGAGCGGCAAGAAGGTCATAATGCTATTCCTGGTCAAGACAAAACTGACCAGGATGAGACTACTAAGAGTAGGATGAGCAGTAGAAACCGGATTCTAGCGCCCATAAAGTCATAAAGGACCCCTACCCCAATCCTACACCCTCAACAGAGGTTCTATGAGGCTTCAGAGTTTAAGGTTTGCTACACCCTGAACCCGAAATGACCTTCCTGTTGAAGGAACACTGAAAAGGTAGGCTATTTGGGGTTAAAGGTGTCCTGAGCCCCCATTCTGAACCCCAAACCCATAGAAACTCCATGGAACCCTTGTAGACCCCTTAAAGGTATACTATAGGAGTTCCGTTAAGGGTATACTGGACGTTGTTTCCTGTAAGGGAACCTATACGTAGATCCCTCAAGCGTAGAAGATTCATGGGCCGTTTTCAGTGGGGCTATGAGTCCCTGCATGTGGGTTTCAAGTAGAGTTGCTTGACTTATGAGCCCTCCGAGCTGGCAACTAGGAGCCTGATTGAGAAACCTTGGGCCAAACCTTGGGCCTTTATTTGGGTTCCTTTAAAGGGTACTATAAGGGAACTATAAGGGTTTTGGGGGGATTGACAAAGAAACTCATCGGGGCTCTTTATGTGCATCCTACTATCTTGGGATTATAGGACCAGGGTTGTTTAATCAGGTTCCCACAATTACCCTATTCTGACTATTACGGCCCCTATATTACAATACTCTTATAGATCCCTTATAGACCCCTTCAAAGGAACCCTATATCAAATTCTAAGCCCTTGGATGCCTCACTCAGCTGCGTAGTATTTATAATATCGATATATGGGCGTTTCCGAAAATTAGGGGTACCTTATTTTGGGGTCCTGATAATAAAGATCCTCCTATTCAGGGTACTGTACAAGGGTCCCCTATTTTTGGAAACTCCCATATAAGGCGCTACAAAGAACCCTAAACCCTAAACCCTAAACCCCCAAACCCTAAAACCCTAAACCCTAAACCCCCAAACCCTAAAACCCTAAACCCTAAACCCTAAACCCTAAACCCTAAAACCCTAAACCCTAAACCCTAAGTGTTGCTTAGCGTGGGCAGTCCCCAAACCAAAGCGTCAGCCGAAGCAGGGGCTCGCCCGAGTTTACGGCCCCAGTGCCCTGATGCCCTTTCCAAAAATGGGGGACCCTTTAAAAAGGGATCTATAGGGGTTCCTTAAAAAGGGATCTATAGGGGTTCCTTAAGGGATCTCTAGGGGTTCCTTAAAAAGGGATCTATAGGGGTTCCTTAAAAAGGGATCTATAGCGGCTCCGGTTGAGGGTATGGGGGTTTCCAAAAATAGGGGACCCTTGTATAGTACCCTGAATAGTAGGATCCTTGTTACAAGGACCCCAAAATAAGGTACCCCTAATTTTCGGAAACTCCCATATCGGGAAACCCTAAACCAAATATTCTGCTCAGGATTTCAGCACTAGTATACAATTTAGTAGCTAGTAGGTTATTCTAGATACAAGAGAACTAGGTCTTTCTCCGGTTTACTACTTTAGGACAGGGTTTGGGGAAGTTCAGGGTTTAGTGCCACTCGTGCTGTTTTGAGTTTCAGCTTCTTTGCTGCGAGAGAGGATGGCGATGTTGATTATACATGGGTGGTTGTCAAAATTATGGCCCCTTTTGGGTCCCTATTCTAGTAAGGCACCTAATATTTAGGGTACCCAAAAAGGGACCATAATTTTGACAACTGCTCACATGGGACCATCATTGTTACCAAGGTTGCCACGGCTGTCGTTTCACGACCACGACGACGAGGCGAGGCTTGATGCGATTGTGAAATCTAGTGCAATTGCCAGCATGTTCAGTACGATTTTGACAGTCGTGATTGTCACTGCTAGTTTAGGGTTTAGGGTTTAACCAATCACCAGTCCCTCAGTTTGGTGTCAATGAAGCTGCAGTCCTCAATCCTGGCAGGGAGCAGCTCTACAAACTGCCCTGATGCCCTTAGGTCTGGGGCGTAGACCTCAAACCACACCCCTAGCCCCTGCACATACCCTACCCCAAAGCATGCTACTTGCCTCAGCCTGGGTGGCTCAAATCTGTTACCGAACCCTTTTGTTTGTGCTAGGTACAAGAGGTGTGTCATACGCCATGGCTTTCCTGGGCGTCCTCAGTCTGATTTGTTTTTTGCCGGTGCGTCAAGCAGCTGGTCCTGCTAACGAGTCGGAGAGCTGCCTACTGCAGATAGCGCCGAGGAAGCCGATCAAGATGCTCTTGGGCTCACCAGAAACCCGAACACACGAAGTTCGTTTAACACACTAGAGAAGCTGTATAAAGCCTTTAGCCGATTACCCGACCCCATGCGCTGACCAAGATGGTCCTGGACTTAACGGGTTAGGAGGTTATGGGAGGGTGATCTAAAACGCAAACCCTACTGGAAACCTCTAGAACCCGTAAAGAACTTGGAGGGTCGGGAGACTTAGTAAATAGGTAGTAAGTAGACTTATAAGTACCCTAAAAGGGGCCCTAATTGGGGTTATGGTACT